GACCTGGCGGCCCTGAATAGCTGGAGAAGAGGAGTCAAGTCAGAAAAAATAAAAAATAGGGAGCATGAGCATGTTTTCACCTGGTTCAGCAGTAACCCAGCAAGGGAAGATTATTTTATTGCCCTGAGGGCTCATCTTCACTTCTTTGATCTGTGGTGTAATCCCTTGCTTGGTGTTGCTGTCAAAACTACTCTATTGAAAAAAGATCTACTGATGAACCAATGTGAACCAATGAATCACAAATCTTCTTCCTCTTTTCCCTCCCAAGATGATTTTTTTCTTTCAGGGTCGATTGATTGTATGTTCTGTGTTTGCTGGAGGTAGTTGAACTTAAGATCACGTGGTTGAAATTCCTTCATTTAATGTGACTGTGGCAAAAGTTTCTGTGGCTTTTTCTTAAATAGTTGTCAGAACAACTTAATACCCAAATGTGTTATTGGTATGTTTGTAAAAAATGTTCTGTTAAAATCTCTGAAGAAAAAGTTTGAATTCATTTGACTCAGTGTTCCTGCTTCTGTAGTTAATGTGGGCTTCAGTCCCTGAGAAAGGATGCTTAGCTGAAGTGTTGGGGAGTAAATTCACCAAAACTGCATGGTTGGGGTTTTTTTGATCGCTCACGTGATCATTGGTGTCACAGAATGTGATGAGTTTTCCTGTGTAGACTTGTAATTTCACATATCTGTATACTGCTGCTTTCTGAAATGAGTATTTTTGTGTTAACATTTCAAAAGGGATTAGCTTTGGAGAATAATTGCTGTCACTAACCCCATTAGCCAAACCTTCCACTCCTGGCACACAGGTGGAACAGCAGCTCTGGGTCTGGCTGGGCCAGTGTTTGTGGCAGCTCCATTCAGGTCATGTGTGATATATTCTACACCTGAAACTTGAGAGCTGAGAGAGAATTTGGGTGTAGTTTTAGGTACTAGGGCAGTCCTCTCTTGAAATATTTTCAGAATGTTGTTGCCAGTTCCTGTTGGACGAACATAGGACGAAGACACAAAATTATTCTGGAAATCTTCACTGCTGTGCTACACTGTTTGTGTGATGTTGAACTGTCTTTAAATATTTCAGTGAGCTCTTCCTCAGCTTGCACTGGCTTGTGACACCGTCTGATGGAGCTGCAGGGAAGCATCAGCACCAGATGGGGGACTGGGGGTGGGGGACAAAGATTGCTCTAAGGTGTCATCAACTTGTGCTTTGTGTAGAAAGGATCTCAGGCTGGCTGTGCTTTGGTGCATCTGAATGATCTCCTGACTGTCTCACCGCGGTACATTGTCCAGTGACTGCTGCTCTTCCTTCCAGAACCTTCATTTCACTAAATCCCAGGTTTCTGCATGGGAACATTTGTTCAGACTGGTTTGTTTGCTGTCTTTCCAGTCCCAGCCCAAAGCCTGGGTTTAGAGGCAAACAGAACCTCCTCCATGAGGGCAAGATTGGTTTTTCTGTATTTTCTATTCATGTGTGGTCCTCTCATTTCCCTGCTTCCCCACCTCTAATAGCTGTAGAGTTGCATTTCACGGAGAAGTGGAATTTCCTTATCTTGTCTTGGAGTTTTCATCTCCCCTGCGTGGGTGGACTGGCAGAACTAGTGTTCTGGATCTCCCTGCATCCCAACAATCCTTCTTGCCCAGTGTTGCAGATCTGCTGCTTTGAGCATTAGAAAAACAGACCCCATTCCTGGAAGAAGATGGAAGAACTGAAGCTGACAAAGGTAAGCCAGCCAGAACTCAGTCTTGAGACCAAATGTACAAAGAATTTCCCAGATGGGTTTCCCTGTGTGCTCAGGGCATTGAAAAAGTAGATTTCTTGCCTTTGCTTGTGCCTTGCCTGCCCAGCTTGTGGCAGAATGAGAGCAGTGATGGTATTCCATGCATGATGATTAAAGAATATTTGTTTCTGTTATGATTATACCATACATGACAATTTTGTCTTGACAGCAACATTAATTTATTCCAATATTTACAATTGTATCAGCAAGGTTCAGAGCTAAAACTGCTTTTCTGTGAAGTACATTTACCACAACAGCACACATCCGTGTGTGGAAAATATTAAGTATCTCACAGATTGTCCTTGCTTATTTCAGAAGCAATTCATAAGAAACAAAAATAAAGACAATGTTATGAAGCACAGCAGAAGTTTGCAAAGTACCAGAGCTTTATTATTAGTCGAGGTTAGAGCCTGCTGGCAATCCTTAGACTCTGACACTGTGCTCTGATTAGAGCCTGGTGGAGATCACTGTTGGTGCTCTAGCACAAATGGACTGCTGCATGTGAGGTTTTGGCACATTATTTTTCTATTAATTTATGACCCACATGTTGCAATGTTTGACTGTTCCAGCAAAACCTTGCCAGACTTTATTAAAGGGGAGGGAATAGGTGTGGCAGGCACAAAGCTTTTACATTCTCAGTATGTTATTGACCAGAGTGCTGTACGGGCTCTAATTTTTAGCTGTTTTTCTTACCAGCAAAACTCATTATTCCCCATAAAAGTTAAGCACAGGAGGATGTGTTGTTCTGAGTTCTGTCAGCTCTTTAGTTTACTTACATCCAATTCTGATGTTTTTCAGTGTGCTGCAATTACTTAGGCAGTACCTGAGCTATAGTTCCTCATACCTGTTCCATTTCAAACACCAGTTTAAGAGTCTCTACAGCAGCTGCAGTCATTGCTCCCACAAGGATAAGATTGCTGTGTGCTCCTTTGCTTTTTCCCTTTTCAACTGAGTTAGTTCTCGGGTTTTGATACAAATCACCAATTTCTGATTTTTATTGGGGTTTGGAGTATTCACGTTTCAGACTTGTCTGTTTTGCAGGTTGCTTTGTCTTGGTTCAGTCAAGTGAAGACCCAGCACATGAATCGCTCCATTTAGGGCCATGAAAAACTGACACCAAAGACCAAGGAAGCAGAGTAAACCAAGAGCCTTCTGAATTTGATGTCTGTAACTGTCTCCTGGTGGCAACTTTGAGGAAGATTTGATTCCTGTGGTCACAGGGAAAGACGGTCCAGCCACAGGCATGTAATAAATGATGCTTAATAAATGATTCCAAAAAGCTGCCTTTATGTGTTTGCTTTTGTGAGTGCTCTATTAGACACCAAAAAGTGCTAGGGGGAATCTCTAGATTTACTAGTGGTTTTCCTCTAGTTTTCTGTGCTGAACAGACTGACTTTGAAATCTGGTGCTAACCAGGGGGAGAAATAGGGAGAGACTCTTCTGCTTCTCAAAATACCCTGCATGTCAGGGAGCCTTCCAGCCTCCTGTGAGCACAGCCTGTGATTTAAATAAACCCAGTCAATTTTAAATGGCAGAAAATGAGGGGAGAGGTAAGCAAGAGGTACCAAAACATTTCTCTACTTGCACAGCACGAATTCCCTCCTGTTGTGACATTGTTTGCAGAGACACAGACTGGGAATTGAAATAGGTTTTGTGGACCAAGCTGAAGCATCACACAGTATTTCAAGCTGCTCCAACAAATTAACTATTTAACACTCTGCTAATGTTGTGCACACACTTTATTGCCTCCCAGCATGAAAATCGAGCAAATAATTGCAACAAGCTTCTGCCCAGTAGAAGTCACTGTAATATAATGAGAAATTTTGTCCTGTGAGTAAACAGAAGGAACAGGAAGCTGTTGGAAGCAGGTCGATGTTGCTTTAGATACAGGAAAAAAAATTTAGGAGTGCTCTGTTTCCGTGCCTTCCGCTCCAGGTGCAGTTCAAGCTGGTGTGGTGCTGGTTCTCCTCGGTAATGTAGCAACTGGACCACACCCCCTCCTGCTGCAGGATGCTAAAGAGCCCTTGGAGCACTATCTGCTGTACTGCACAGAAACTGCACCACTTCTAATTACCACACCACTGCCAGCTGAGAGGGTTTTTTCATCCCATTGAATGACAAGGAAATTGTTCTTTCTCTGTCCAGTAATCTTATGCGTTCTTTCAATGTTTCTGTAGTAATCCTATTTTTATTGCAGAAGAGGACTATGTTAATTTTAAATCAATACCAGAATTGTATCTTGTCGGTGCATTTTATCTTGTTTCAAAGTAAGTTGTTGATTAAAAATAAGCATTCTTGGCCACTTGATGCTCTTCTTGTTTACTGCTCCTGTATGGTGGTATTATGTTAACATTTTGGAAGAATACTCAAGGATTTGAGCATGTTTTTCTTCTCACTTAGACTTTGCAAATGACTGAAAAGCTTTCCCCACTCCTAACCTCTCTTCTGTTGTGCAACAAAAGAGCTTTCCTTTAAGCATCTTGGTTTCCAAGCACAAGGAATCGTCTCTGGGCATTACTGAACGTTTGACTTAAGGTGTGATGAATCCTCTTATGCCAAGTTGAATATTTTGATGTATGCTGTAGATTAATGTTTAATTTACCTAAAACGAGTGTGGAATTAGTGTTTTTCAGAGTTTGTTTTTTAAAGTTATTCTGTTCAGATCTTGGGTTTTATACAAAATCTCCTGAGTCTGCATTGGATGTCACAGCCTGACTTGGTTTGTCAGGGCTGTTTCCTTTGCTGCCTGTCTTAGAAAGATGATGATTATAATAGTACAAAAACCTTTTTCTGGCTTCATGACCTGCATGGGGGAAAGCTTTTTAAATAATCTGAAAATTTACTCACCAATTTCTTTAAATGTGTTGGTTTCATACTGTACTGACTTAGCAGTTGTTGTCATTGCACTTTGGTATCAGTCTTGGGAGGGATGTGTTTTGGTGACATGTGGCACTACAGCCATTGCAAAATAATGGTATTGGTGTTGCTGAACTTCTAGGTTTTCTTAGAATTTAAGAAATCCTAGTGTAGTTCAGAAAGCTTCTACAGCTTCTTGTGACTTGAGTACAAAAATACCAATAGCCTCCCTAAACCAGTGTAAAACTGTATTTGGAGCTGTGCATGTAATAGAATAAATCCATGGCAATAATATGAAAAATATGTAAAAATGCAAATCTACCATTTTTTTAGCTTGATAATGCTTATGATCCCCTCCCCCTTTCTGTCTTTATAGGTCTACGAGGGCTAATCAATCTTGGGAACACATGTTTTATGAACTGTATTGTCCAGGCACTTACCCACACTCCACTGCTGCGAGATTTCTTCCTCTCCGACAGGCACAAATGTGAAATGCAAAGCCCCAGCTCATGTCTGGTCTGTGAAATGTCTACTCTCTTTCAGGAGGTGAGTGCTGTTTGCTACAAAGCATCACCTTGCCACAGACGCTGTTTCTTACCCTGGAAGGAATTGCATTCTGATTGCAAAGGGAATGCAAGTCATGTTTCCCCTCAAAGTGCAGTAAAACAAAGCAGCAAAGATTGAGATCTCACTGTCAAAAATACCCAGCTGCTGAAAAGAAAACTAATGGCTTTTAAGTCCTGTTGTGAAGTCACCCTTGTTTAGGCAAAGCTGGTATTGGAAATAATTACAGTGCTGCCTGTTCTAAGACTGATCTGGGAGTCCTTAGTCTGAAAGCTGAATGTGTGCTTTAATTAAAGGTGCAAGTTGTAACTGGAAAATATGTCATGAGCTCTTTGGGTGATCATGGGAGTGAGAATAAAGCAGTAGTATACATCCTTGTGGTTTAAGGTACTGGATTATGTAGGTCTGTATGAATATTTTAAAGATCTCCATTCAGTGCTTGTTCACCAGCAGAAACATCTTTTCTGTCATCTCTTATGTGCAAACCCAGTAAGGGCCAGGAAGGAGAATAAAGAGAACTAAATGTGTTGCTACAGTTTGTGTCTTCCCTGTGCAAGCCACAGTTCTTTCCCACTCAGGAATCTGCTTTGCAGTGTGTCTTTACTGTAGGTCTGGTCCATGCTGTGTGGACAGGCACAGGCTTTTCCTTAATAAATAGTTAAAGAGCTTTATTAACTATCTTAATTCCACATCAGTAATGTAAGGACTTTGGGTAGACATGGGCTCCTAGTTTTAAAATGTCTTTTAAAACAAACCCAGTTCTGTGCCTTTCCCTCACTGGTGGATCTGCTTTCTTGGTAAGTAAAATAAAACCAACCAAAAGACCAAAAAGAGCTGTAGTGTATGTGCTGTCATGGAGCATTTAAAAATGCTGGAGATGTCTGTACACAGAGCAGGTTTTCTGTGCATGTCCTGTCATGAAAGTTCATTCTGACAGGGACTAATCTAAAAGAGCTTTACCTTTATCTTGTGGTTTTCAATTTGATTTTACTTCTCTGCCTTTTTCACCAGAGATGATTCTTTTTGCTCACTGCAGGTGAGTTAAACATACATAGAAGAAGGTAAAGCCCCCTTAGTTGTTCCAGTACAAAGTTGTTTTCTGCTCATGCTCAAGACTTCTCAGGATTTGCAACATTTCATGCTGCTTATCAATCATTAGCTGTATGTTACATTTCTTATTTTTGTTCTATTTTTCAATTGTTCCCAGGTCTGTCAGGAAAGGAGGGAAAAACAAAAGGCAGGCAGACCAATAGGTAGCAGCTGTAAGATTATTGAAACCAGATGTGCAGTTAAGTGAGGAAATACCACAATGCCTAGATGAAAAAAGTCAGTCATGGTATAGAAATACCAGTTTCTGTACACTGTTAATACAGAAACCTATTTGCTTATTTAAAAATAAGGAACCATTATATCCTTGATATGCTTTCATCAAATAGTGATATAAGATCTCATACTGATGAACATCACCATACTCTATTTGCACATGCATTTTTTAAAAAAAATCCCTTGGGAAAGGGGAAATGAGTGTTACATTACAGATTGAGAGGCTGCAGGAAAGATCAAGACTCTCTAGGTAATGATTTTTGTTTCCATTTTTATATGTGGAGCCCTGTTGATGGCTCAGGATGCCTTTTGCTCTATTCTAAGCATGGAACAAAGAACAGGCTGTTATCCAAAATGGGGCTTAAATACAGCATTTGTGTTAGTTTCAATCATAATAAAGTTTAATTTCATACACAATTTTGGGAACTCAGCCTTCATTTTCAAACCAAAATTCATGCCTGCACTTGCATTAGTTCTATTAATTAAATGTTCTGCAACACAAGGGTGTATGGATGAGGGAACATATCTGTGACACCAGACTGTGCAGACTGCAATAGTCCCTGTCCTTATTTCACATTAAATACTGCAGCCATGTGCTGTAGGAGGACACAGAAAGTGACTCAACCTCCTTGAAGTAAAACTGGAGCTTAATCCTCCTAAGCAAAGCTGTTGGGTCTGTAACCAACTTGGTGTATTTTAACTCACAAGCAGTAAATACCTTACTGCTTTTATGGCACCCATTGTACAGTTCTGTTCCCAGTGAGTTTTAATTTCTCTGAATTTGGAATTAAAATGAAAATCTTGCGTTTTCTGGAGCAGACTGGATATGTTTCATGTCCCAGCTCTATCCAGTGGTTGCAGTGAAAACTCTGTCTCTGCTTTTGCAGAGCTGAGGTCTGAGTGAAGGAGGGCAAACCAGGAGATCTCAGTGCTCTGGTTAAGAATTCCTTTGTAATTGAATTACCAGGGAAACTTTGATTCAGGTTCTGTCTTGTTTCTACATAGCTTTCCCACTGGGATTAACTGGTGTGGTTATCCCAAAGCATCTTACCCAGGGACAAACAATCAGGGCAAGGGTTAATTTCATCTCCCCTCCACCCATCTCTTCTGAAGGTGTGATCTTAGGCAAATGGAATGCCAGGGGATCTGGTGAGTGCCTGAGTGGGAGCTCTCCAGGAGAAAAAGCAAGACTGTTTTGAACATTAAATAAAACTTACTATATAAAAATAAGCAAGTTTTGCTCTTTTGCCTCTTAAACAGAAGTTACCCATCCCACTTTATTTCTTTTTTTGTTTAAGATCATGTAGTTATATAGGTTGAGTGATTTCTTTGTGATAAATAGGAAGCTAAAAGTTCTTCCACCTTGAAGTAGGTTGGTGGTGAGTAATGACTATCAGATGGTTCTCAGGACTGAGGTGGTTTTTTCCTGGTAGCTTTTCTGGCAGACACACCAAGCATTGAGCTCTGTTTGTTTTAAAAATATCTGACTGCATCAATTAACATTCTCATTTGTGCTACATGCAACCTATTTCTCAATAGAATCATGACATGACTTACTGCTTAAGAAAAAGAATGAAAAGGATTTGGGAGTAACAGATAGTGGTGAAGCTGGATGGAGGGAAGATAGAACACAGAATCCATTCATTGAGCCTTTTGGCTGAAAGGGTTGGTGCACTCTTTTTTACCTACTGGTGTTTGTGTTGTAGTTTTGCTTCACCAATGAAAATGAATTTCAGGATGGTCCACACCCAGAAGTTTATCCAAATCCTTTCCTGAATGACCACTCAGGAAGGTAGGATTAGAAGATCTGTGTCTCATGCTCTCTGTGACTGGAATAGTAAGAATACCTGGGAGCTGAGCAGAATGCAGTGCATCTACTCAGAGATGGAAGGAACAAAACCTTCCTTTTTCCCATCATTACTCATCCTCGTGAGCCTATCACAGTGCACAGCACAAGCATGGGAAGAGTTGAGAAGTGAGGACCAAGAGGGAAAAGGAAGAGATGATTTATGGCTTTGATATTTGAGGATGCTACTGTTGAAGTGACTTAGGTATAAAATAAGTTACAACACAGAGTTGTAACCCCCAAAAGAGGGGGGCGGGAAATGTATTTAAGGCTCTTTATATAGACAGAAGCCTTGCCTTTTGTCATGGAAAATACAGACTTTGTGTTGATTTAGTAAAACCTTTTCCTTGAAATAAGTGTAGAACATACAGAGTTCATGCAAGCAAAATGTATTTTGTGATTCTTTGAACCATTGTTCTTTGGGAAACCTCTAGAAGGTGTTCTCTTGTATGTGTTCCATGTGTTGCCCACTCCTTTCATGCATTGTAAATTGCCAGAAAATTTAAAGTCTTTACTGAGAACCAATTTCCAAGAGGAGTTTTTGACTTCTCAAATTGGACTTGAACCTGGTGCAAGATTTCTGCCTATAAACTTGTAATTACAAAGCTCAGAGACTGTTTAGTGGATACATGTGCAGGATAAATCAAATTTATCTGTTTACTCACATAATTGAGAAACTTCTGTTTTTGGCAGGAGGAGGAGAAAGAAGTATGTATGTGTACGGTGGGGTTTTGTTTTGTTTTAAAACCTCACTGGTGTCTGTATACTTTTGGTAACAATGATGCAAATTACAAAGCCTATGGTATTGTAAATGCCCCTAGATTCTTTCTAGAATGCAGCAGCAAGTGTTTTAAGTGGAAAAACAAAATTACTTTTGCTTGCGCTGTGTGTGAGAATGAAAGCTTTAAATCCTGGTTGGTTTATTCCTTTCTGCCCCCCTTCCCTTTTTTTTTCCTGGAACAGCAATTAAGCAGTGTATTACCCAGCACTTAGAAATTGCTGAAACTAGTTGTCTCCAATATAAACAACTGATACTGCTGAATTGAAAACAAATTTAAACAAAAAAAAGTTTAAATCATTTTCAGAACAGTTGTGCCATTGAAGTGTTTTAAAGGTGACTTGCAAATACATCATTGTTTATATTTGCACACTTCAGTGAGAAGGTTGGAATAAGACTTTACATGGACTCTTTCCCTTTTTGTGGGTTGGAACAGCTCTGATAGGCTGCTCTTCCCAGCAGCAAGGAAATGACAGAGATGGGATGAATGTTTTATACATTCCAGTTAAAATATTGTTATTGAATGTGCTCAGATTATTTGTTTTATTTAATATTTATTTGAGCAGTGAAGCTTTTCCCCCACCCCACATTCTTACCAGGCAGGTTGCTCTTTTTTTTGTGTGATAATAGTTAATGATTTGCTAAAGCTTCATGTCAGATCCTTCTCATCCTACTGAGGCAGCAGAGAATGTAAAATCTGCTGGCAGGTCTTGTGTCTGCAGTGAAGTAATTACATGGAGTGCTGGTGGTTAAAATGACCGGAGAGCTCTGGGACTAATTGTAAGGAGTGACAGAACAGGGAAGTTTTATTGCTGCAGTTCCCTGAATTATGTTGAGCAGCAGCTGCATCAGCAGATTTCAATTACCACACTCCTGCTCCAGTCCCTCGGTGTCATCCTTGTTGGCATCAGAGTTAACTATTGATCTTTATATTTATAGGAGCATTTTGTGGTGTTTGGCTGCAGAGGTGCAGCTTCTTGTTTGGGAAAAGCAGAGCTTGTGAGGAAGAAATTTCTGTGGGAGGAAATACACTAAAATCATGTAGAAAGCCCTACCAATATGAGGACTAGATGAAGACTGTGCTGCCTTTTGCCAACCTGTTCCTTAAAATGCAGTGTTTTCTCTCAGCAGGTTTGTAGCACAGTGCCTGTGCTTGGACTTCCTTAAAATGCTCAGAGACTGTCCAGGGAGATACTCAGGGCTGGGGAAGGAAGCTCACATTTCCAATGAGGATGAGAGTTATATACTGCTGGGGGTTTAAATCTTGTTTTTGTTCTGTGTATTTGCCACTGTCTGTCTTCTGTTTGGGAAGAGTAACTGAAAAGAAACTGCCATGGATTTGATAGGATCTTGGGAAAACAATTGTGGTGTTGCAGGCAGCATTTACTGGCAGATACATTTGCCAAAGGTGAGGGAAGGCATAATTTCTCATAAATGTTACTCTGTCAAGTGAATAAACTCTTCTGGGCCTTTTCTGACTCCTGCAGGATCACCACAAGCATTTCTGCTTTGCTTTTGGATGTGGTATCACTGTGCAGGATAAAGGAAGGGCTGAACCTCAACCCAGGGAAACACAGACCCATAGCATGGGTGGTTTTTTGGCATGTTTTTTTGGGGTGGGTTGGTTGTTTGGGGTTTTTGTTTGTTTGGGTTTTTTCGAGTGGGATCTGGCTGGATTTTAATTTAAAAATGTTTCTGTGGGTAGTGTCCTCCTGCCCTGTGCTGATTTCCCTCCCCAGCTGTGTTACCCCCCAGCAGCAGCAGCAGTGTTTCACATCAGGCTGTGCTGACTGAATAATTCATCTGTGCACACTCTAATGTGCTTCTGGCAAAATCACCTGGGGCAGTTTTAGTCACTCCAGAGCCAGCTCATCAGATTTTGACTGAAGCAGATGAAGGAGCAGATGCAAGAGCTGGTCCAGCACCAGATTCCCAGGCAGGGACACCAGGGGCAGCTGGCTTTGGGGATCGCTGCTGAATGGGGACCTTCAGCTCTGCAAAAACAGCTGGCTCAATAAAGTTGTTTTTGAAGTCTTCTACAGTGAAAGGCCAGTACTGGCATGAGGCTGCTGCCCTGCTTGGAAATTTTTTCCATCAAATTGGACTGCACAGCATTTGGGTGCAGAGTTGCCATGGGTCAGGGCTGGCTGACATTCAGCATCTAATATTCTCATCTTCAGTGTTTGTTCTGATATGGAAGGGTGGGGGGAGGCATTTCATTCACATAATTTGTGAATGAAATTGCTGATCATTTTCAAATGTAGGATTTTTTTTCCTTTCTTTCCTCCTCAGGCTATTTTAATAAAAGCCAGTGGTATCAGTAAGCAAATTGTGAGTGATGTTTGTGTCTGTCTACCCCACTCCCTGCACCCCCACATGTTTCAGGCTAATCCATCACAAATTGGTGGAATTTCAGGGGAGAAAACTGAGCTACTCAGTTCTGAGATCACTTCTCCAGTAGTCTGTGACAAAAGCTTTCTCTCTCCTTTATTATTAAGGCCATCAGAATTAAACAGTTTAAATTGATTTGACTAATTGCGCTCATTTAACTTTTTAATAATTAAATGCTCTGAGCCTGTGTAAGTTGTTAACAGTCATGTCCTTCTCTTTGCTTTGAGCAGTTTTACTCTGGGCACCGATCTCCTCACATTCCATATAGGTTATTGCACCTGGTATGGACTCACGCACGGCATTTAGCAGGGTACGAGCAACAAGATGCACACGAGTTCCTCATTGCTGCATTAGATGTGCTACACAGACACTGCAAAGGTAAGGTTTGTTCTGTGGCTGCAATCAACAAGGATTATTGCATCAAAAAGAGGTAGAACCATATTTTCTTAAACCAAGTCTAGTGCCAGTACAGCACTCTTAGCAAATTCCTTTAAAATTGTTCGGTAGACTTCAAATATTTATAAAAAAATAAACCATTCCCATTGTCAAAAAATACCAAGAATTAGAAGGAGACAAGCCTTTATATTGGTTTCAGTCACTATCATGATGTTCTCTTATTGGTTGTGAGTCACTGTCTTTTCTTTTAAATTGCCATTTTAATTCTATTTTTACTTGAAGTAGTTAGAACTCTTACTCAGTGTGTCATGGGACTGATGAAAATAACATAGGGGAGAGGCTATGTCTTAATACTATTATTCTACTTAAATATGATTCTACTGTATTTCTGATACCAAATTGCTTACAGAAATGTGAATAAGAAAGAGCAATGGGTGGCTATGGTATCTTGTTTTATTAGTCTGTATAGAACAATACGTAATTGTACAATTCAGTAAAAATATTCAGTGCCATGCTTTTTGATTTGAAGTATCTAAGTCTTGATTTTCTAATATCATATGAAATTATGTGCTTTCTGTTCATTAGCTGAACTAAAGCTGAACTGAAAATTTCCTAATCTGCCAAATGTTTGTTCTAGCTTGATTCACTTACTGCAGCAACAAAATTTTTACTATTCATCCAAGGGAAAAGTAGTAGGGTTCATATTAACAGAACAAATAAAAAGTCCTTGGTTATCAAAAAGAAGATTTAAGCACTCAACTTTGCTCAAATTTTGCTTAGGAAAAGCACTTAGGGTTTAATTTTTTGGTTTATCAGAGGACTATCAAAAAGGAAGGCTGCTGCTGCTTCTCTGAACCATTGTGAGCCTTGCTCTTGTCTCTGAGGTAGCCCTGCATGGCAACACATGGGCTTGTTCACATCTGTAATTGGTGCCTCCAAAAGAGTTTTCTCCAAAGAAAGTATTGCTAAGGACAGGAGTACACAGAGCAGTTCCTTTTTAGTTACTAATATCTGTCATTTGACAACCACTAACTGGATTTCAGTAATCCAAATTAAAGTGGTGTGGAAGTCCAGTAAGGAGCAAAATCTACCCAAATATTGACTTCTCACTTTTTAACACTGAATAAATTCACCTGCAAACAGAAGCACTTCTTTGTTCCTGTTAAATTTCTGAACCATTGATCTAACAAATCTTGAAGCTTTTTTCATCATCTCTGATAAAATGCAATGCTCATATTTCTTCTACACATCCTCATTAATTAATGAAGCAGTATTTGTGTCTCAGAATGGTAAAGAGAAAAACTTGCAACAATAAAAGTCCCTGAGGTCTTCTCAAACTGATAAAGACTCTGAAAAGACTTTAGAAAAAAATGTGGTTTGACTTTAAATGAAGAATCTCTCTGCAGCCAGGTTTTCAAAATTTCTGTTTCTGAAGAAATAGAGAGGCTTTTATTAAATCATAATAAATAATCTATACCACATCAAGGTAATTTAAAAGAAGTGGTTGAGAAGTTGTGTGGGAACCAAACAAGTTAATCTAAACCAGAATTTCAAGTATAGTCATGCAAAACCACATTTGGAACGAACTAGTTTTCAGTGTAATGAGAAAGTTTTCCCACTTGTGTATCCACACAGACACACTTGCATGGGAAGTGTGCAGATGTAAAAATATTATTACTAATAGTGAGAATGTCCTACAGCTACAATAAGCAAATAATACCTCCCCTGCCAATATTAAATATTTATTTTAATCAACGGAAAAAGCTTTTAAAGCTTCCAGTCAATAGTAATGAAGTTTTGCAATTAACACACAGTGAAATAAAATAAAGTCATGGGGGAAATTTTGCTCTAGTTTTTGGACATTCTTCATGATCAGCAAGGCTTTAGGCACCAAAGTAAATGAAAGTGTTCCTTATGTATAAATATCCAGTGATGTTTGTTTGGCTGTCATTAGTCATTTATCCCTTTTCCATTCCACGTACTCAGTTGTCTAGGAAGTGTCTTAATGCAAGTAAAGACAAAGCTGTGAATATTTGTTGTTGTTCTGTCACTACCTAAATTAAGAAGAATACGTGGTTTTGATGTCCATGTAAAGATAAGTTTTGTGATCTTATAACTGCCCTGAGATGATTATGTGGCAGGATGGCCCAGGTAATTTTGTTTTGATTTGATTAGTGTTTTAAATACTGGTTGAGTCTATACTTTGTTTTAGTGGCATCTGTGGAGTTTTGGAAGTCCAGGATACCTGTCTGATCTCCTTGAAAATCCTGTCTGAGGGGTGATAGATGCACTGGCACTGTTGGGATGAGCTGTGGCATCTGGGCATATTCTGAACCCTCAATAGGGCTTCTCTGTGCTGCTGAAGTAATAGAAAATATTTCTGAATAAAAGGGGTCAAGTGTGTCTTGCCTGTGCATCATTTTCATTTCAACAGCTGGAGGCTGGTGATCTAACTGGAAAGTAGTATTTTGGTGAAAAAAATAGTGTAAAAAATCAGTATTTCTGTCCAAGTTGTAAAGCATTAAGTCAGCTTTTAGTCAACATGGCAGATGCATCTTTATCCCCAATGCTCTGGGATAAATTCAGGGTTCTAATCTGCAAACTTCCACACCAGTGAGGTTCCAAACATACAGACACTTTTTAGTTTCCCACCTTTGTCTCAGACATCTTCAGTTTTCGGGGAAAATTAGACCAGAATTACTGTTCTCTTAAAAGGATCAAGACTCCAAGTAAAAAATTATTTTTCTGTCCAGTGACATCACTGGCTGTGGGGGTTTCTGTACTTAGTGCAAGAGCAACAGCAGTCAAGTGGCAGAGATGGGCACTGGTATACAAAGGTTCAAAAAGCAAGATAAAAACATAGAAGTAATCCAGTGTTTTTATCCCAAACTTTATTCATTACTCTAAAAAAAAGGAAGACTAGTACTTTAAAGCTGATTATTCCTCATTTATTTGGATTTCTTGAATCATTTTGCATTCGCCTTTAACAAGGGGTGCTGCAAAACAAATCTGAAGCTAGAAAAATAATGGTGTGCTGAGATTTGGGAGGAAAACAGTGCCCTGCTCTGTGAATTCTGTATGATATTCTTAGGAATTGATAGAGCATATGCTTGTGAAACATGTCATCTGCTCTGATCCATATAGATTTGTGTGTACACTGCTTTGTCAGAAATAACAATCACTTGTTCAGAACACCAGGGACCAAAGCAAAGCAGAAATATTAACATTAATGTCTTGTTTTGATAAAGACCCCTTTTAAAATCTGACAATTCTTGACTTTGCTTTTCTCATTTAAAATACAGAATAGAAGGTTGAGAAAAAACTTTTATTTTTATATCAAAACTGAAAGCAATCTTAACAAATTGTCTATAGCTCTTCTTACTGTTGCTGTGTATTATTTTCCTTTAGTGGTATATTAAATGTCTAATTTGAACACAGATTAACATGCTTAGTTATTGCACAGACACAGTAGTAACCTGTGGGGGTTTTTTGAGAGTTGCATTTAATTTGAATCCAAACTCCTAAACTCAATTTTCAGCCATTCTCATAACCACATTAATGTGTATATCCATGTATTTTTAAGTTTGCTTTTAGTCTCGTTCTGACCATTCTTAAAAGCTGCTGATTTCCCTGGACTGGATTTAAACCCCAAAAAATGTCTGAAATTAAAACCTCATTTGGGAGATAGAAATGTTGAAGGGAACCTTAACTTAAGCACAACAATCTAGCAGCTTCTAGTTCTCAGCTGCATAATATACCTCCCCTCAGCATCTGTTCCATATTGACAAGTGTGTGTAGGTGGTAATCTTACTCTTTTTTCCCTCCTCTCCAACCAAATGTCATGGGAAATAATGTTGAGTGGGTAATACCCTTCTGTTTTGCTGGGAACAAGCTTGCAGGATATTCATTTGAGACCCTCTCATCACTGATCCTAATTGACTTGTGTAATTGAAAAGGGAGAGCTCAGTTCTCTCTGTGGGAGGAAATGACTGTCTGCTGAAGGTGTCCAGCTGGGATGGTACCTGTGGTCCAGGGAAAAGCTCTCAGCACTGCTTTTTTCCTTCTGCCCCCTCAAAACAAAGCAGAGACAGCATTTGAAATGGGGAGATTACATGGATGTGGTAGTTGCATGTGGATTCTTTAAAAAGGAAAAGTGGAGTTTTAACTAAAACCCAGTTAATTCCATTTTGAATTTTTTTTTCTTTAGTGCCTGTGAATATAAGTGAAGCTTTTTCTGTAGGTGAAGGATGCGTTGCACAGTCTCTATCCTGTATGCCCTCCTCATTAGCTTAGCATAATTGAGCCCTTTAAAAGCTCTTACATTCAGTAAGATTTAGCTGAAATTCCTATCAAGAAATGCCTCAGACCGGCTGTGATAACCCCCAGCTTGAACCTCATACACTTGAAATCTAATTTTAGAGTATTTTCTTCAAGAGTCTTTTTAAGGAAACAATGTGCTTTTCTTGGCAATTCAGACAAAAGTTTGTAAAGCCTAAATCCGGCAGCTGAGGGAGAACTTTCCTGAGGCATTTAGAATCTAATTAACTCGAGTGGCCCACTGCAGCTTAGTAGGCATCACCTGTGACTGCTTTTCCCACTTAGAATCCGGTGGAACCTTTGCCAGATTATTATATAACACTTTTCAACATAATTCTAAAAGCTTCACTGGAAGAAAAAATATAACTCTATCTGTTCCTACTACAAGAAAACTCCAGCTAGAGCACCTTAGACACATGAAAATGGTCTATTGCCCTACTTTAAGAAACTTTTTATTTCTTCAGGTGTTTTTTTGAACATTTTTGTAGAAAATAATTGGTTTTGAGAAATAGCTGAGATTTGAGGAGTATTTCAGTATTTCAATCTTAGCATTTCAGTTTCAGAAATCAAATACTTCCCAGGAAGTTGAAGACACTGGGAAATCTGTCCAAACTGTTGTAGCAGTTGCTGTTGATGGAGATGGGAAAACATCTTGAGATGCATTTTAAAAAATAATTATCTGTGTAGTAGTTGGTGTGTGCATCTCTGATGGCAAAGCAAGCCCAGCTGCATCTGTCTTACCCGAGGAAAATAAGCAGTGGACAGTCTGAAAATCCAAGGAAAAGGGTATATTTCCTACCTCACCTGTGAGAAATGGAGGGAGAAGGTTTTGAAGCTGAGAACTGTGTGAAGAAGTTTTTGGTTATTTAATACTCTGGTTATTGTGAGAAAGTTGAATTGGTCTAATGTCAGCACTCAAGTCCTAAAAATGACACTTTACTCCTGGGACCTGCAGTGACAGTGTGTGATGCCTAAAAGATGGGAATGTGTTCACTGTGCCTCTGGAGAAGCTGGAGGAGGACACAGCATTACCTCCTCACTTCAGATATCTTTCATTTTCCCACTGATGAAAACCTGCATGGAAGGTGCACATTGATGCTGAAAGGCTGGGATGGAGGCAGTGGGCTGGGGATGAATGGTTCTTAACAAACCCTCTTCCCTCATCTGCTCGCAGAAGTTGACTGGAATAGAAGTAAAAAGTAGCATTTGCTAAAGTTTCTTTCCTCTTTGAAGTTTAAACATTGATTTTCATGAACCACCTTGGCAGCTCCTTTGTCTTAGGAGCTGATCTTTATGCCAGGCAGTGCAAAGCAAGCCTCTGTAAAGGGAGATACCCTGAGCAAGGGTTTGGCTAAGAGCTGCTATGGCTTAAAGCTTCACCTCTACCTTTAGTCACTTCTTGGTTTTCTTCTATATTTTTCAAGGAATTCTGATCTTGTTTCCTTGTTTTCTTCAATGCATAACTTTTGCAGGGTTCTGTATTATCCTTGTGAACTTGCAGTATAAATTTGAGTTAGAGTTACTGGAGACACAGTCCCAAGAAAAACCACTGCTTCTTCAGAGAATTTTTGACTTCTGAGCCTGTGTTTGCATTCCTGCAGGTGATGATAATGGGAAGAAGGCCAACAACCCCAACCACTGTAACTGCATCATAGACCAAATCTTCACAGGCGGACTGCAGTCGGATGTTACCTGTCAAGTCTGCCAGTAAGTCACTTTTCCTGACCCTGGGTTCTGATGGGAATCTGCACCCCCTCCAGTGCAGTGCACTGAACCTTTCCTCTCTTGAATACCAATAAATACTGGCAAAACTCCAGAAAGATTTCCCAGAGAAGCTTTGGCTGCCCCATCCCTGGGAGTGTTCAGTGCCAGGCTGGATGAAGCTCTGAGCAGCGTGGTCGAGTGGAAGGTCTCCCTGCCCATGGCAAGAGCTGGAATGAGATGATGTTTAAGGTCTCTTCCAACCAAACTGTCCTGGGACTCTGTAATTCTGTCATCTAAATGAAATCAATTACCAGTTAAGTGTCATATATTAAGACATACCTAAAAAGCTGCCTGGGAATTACTACAGGCTTGTGCACACAAATCTTTTACCAGTCTGGAAAAGGTGGTTGTTTTCCAAGATCATAAGGAAAAGGCTTCCAAGATCTCTTTGGATTTCAAAATACATAATTGCAACTACATTTGAAGAAAATTCGGATACAGAATCACATTTTCCTTCAGTCAGGAACCTTGTGTATCATCAGGAGAGGTTTCAAAGAGGCTGATGCCTAAAGTAATCTCAGGTACCAGAAAAAAAGCCTTTACAAGAGTAGGGGGAAAAGTATTTATTGTTCTACCCTGTACTGGAACAAGTTGACTTCTCTTTGGAGACATTTGGTGTTGCTGTAGTGCAGAAGTCAGAGTTCTTGTTTTTTGTTCTGCCTTGCATTCTTGCGTCCTGCACAAGGGCTGGGCTTGTTTGAATCTGCTTTTATTCTCAGTTTCCTGGAGGGATTTGCAAAAGATTTACTGTAAGGAAAACATAGGAAATTTTGTTCTTTGCCTGGTAGAGCCACAGAATCCTTATGTGATAATGTAAAGCTTGATTTGTTATGACAGAATATTAACATTGATGAAACTTTGACAAAAGGAGTTTTCTTTTGAAAATTGACAACTTTTGCACAAATGAAGCAGAGGGAAAAGGCAGAATATTGAAGGCTTAATGAGATTGCAGAATGAAAGACACTAGTTTTAGGGGAAGAGAAAATTCAAAAAACAAACATAACAAGGAGCTTAGACCCTTAAAGTTCTCTTAAAAATGTGGATACTGGAAAAAATATTTGAGTCAATAGCAGTTAAAATTTGAGCAGCTTTTTCCACAGTCTGGCTCTTGGCTTGTCTTCAGCTGTCTTTAGAGAACTCTGATGGAGAACTCGAGCTACTACTTGGTGTAGTTATTCTTTGGCCTCTCAAATCCCAAAGGTTGTAGGACATGGTGAGAGGAATTGCAAAGCTGAATTTATTGCATTGCTGGACAGCAGAAGTATTTAAAAGGCCTTCTCTTTTTTGAGGTAGCCATGTCTAGAGCAGACAACACCAGCTTCTAAACTACTTGGATTGTCACAGATGTTAACTGGTTTATACTGGTCAGTGGTGCCTCTGTCTCAGAGGAGCTCTGCTTTGAGTCTCAGGGCTCCAGTGAGTGGGAGAATGTCCTAAATACTTTTATTTTGCATTTAATACGTCCACATACATTTTCCCCAAACACACAGCTTTTAAATATGCAGGGAAACTATCAATTGTGGGAAAATATCTGGAGCAGCTCTATTTTCTGTCATCTCTGAGTGCCCTCTAGGGGTGATGGAGATCCCAAAGTCCTTAAAATAAAGTAGCTGCAGTGCACCCCAAAGCGAGAGAGAAACTGTTCATTTGGCTTCCTTTAAAGGTGTATGGAACCATTCTCTTTCCCACAGTGGCGTTTCCACGACGATAGACCCGTTCTGGGACATCAGTTTGGATCTGCCAGGCTCTTCCACCCCGTTCTGGCCGCTGAGTCCGGGCAGCGATGGCAGCGTCGTGAATGGGGAAAGCCACGTGTCAGGCACCACCACCCTCACAGACTGCTTGCGAAGGTATGGCCTGCCACAAACACAGCTTGGGCTTGGAGGAAGGCAATTTGGCTTCATCTTGTTCTCTGAAAACTGGCACTGAGTGATGCTTTGTCACAGCTCTGTCCCCAAGCAGCATTTTTACACATGTTTTTGTTGTTTGTGTGTGAGAAAGTAAGAAGGCTCAGAGCAACAATAAGCACTCAAAGCCTTTTGCGGCATGATGTAAGAAGAAAATAAATTTTGTGTTGGCTACTGCCAGGTAATGGGGTTTTACATGATCAAAATCACTAATGTCTGTCTCCATGTTCTTGGTTCTGGTGGCTGAGGAGGCATATGAAAAGAGTTAACATTGCATTTAATATTTATCTAAATTCTAACACCAAGTAGGAAATCAGATTTTGCTCTAAGCACAACTGAGAGTCAGCTACTGCCAGCTTAGTTGCAGGGATGCCATTAAGGATTAAAGGAATGGAGCTTTCAAAAAGAAAAGGTAATTCTGAGGCTGACACTTAGGCATCTTGGAAACAGGTACCTGGGGAGAAGGTTATGGCTTTGTGTACAGTTCACTTGGATCTTTCAGCAGATCTGAAAGTCATTCTCTTGTGGCAAATGCAGATATTTGCCTGAGGAAGAGGTTACCTGGAGCCTGGGGCAAAGCTAATCCTCCTGAAATAAAAATTCACTGTCTCTAAGATCTGATTTCTAATCTGCTTGACACCATTGAGATCAATAATTTTAAGGAAATGAGGGAATTAGTACAAATGAAAAATTGCTGATGCAGGAATACATCAAGAGGCAAAACCAACTGTATTTTGGTAATTTTCTTCAGCATAGAGATCAGTAGAATCAAAGTTGATAATAGGGAAGGAAAAACATCTAGGTTCAAAGATACTTTGAAGTAAGTATGGATTTTGGAAAGAATTTGAACTCTAATGGATAAAGAGGATGGGTCTATGTTTTAATCAAAAAGTTAGCAATAAGAAAGGTGTGTAATTTCATGTCAGTGTGGCCATGCAGCTGAAGCTGACCTAAAGAAGGAAGGATTGAGCAGGAATGACACAAAAATGGAAAGATAAGGGCATTCCAAACAACTATCAGTGTAAGTTTATAAGCCTTTTTAGAGACTTCAGGGAAAACAAATACAAAGCAAAAAAAAAAACAAAAAAAAAAATAGAGAATGATGACAAATAAGCCAGGTAAAGGAAATTTTGTTAATTAATCAGGAAGCTGTGATGTCATTTAGTGCTAGAGGCTGCTTTGGCCATAGTCAGAATGAGGGTGAGGGACAAACTGACAACATGTTGCCCTCACATTCTTCATGTGCATTAATGAAAAATTTTTAACTTTATTTCAAAATATTTAATCTCAAAAATCCTAGTTACAAGGCAGCCTCTGGGAGAATGGTTGATTTGCCCTTTGGAAATCTAAACTTGGAGGAAAGGACTGAGAATGGGAAGTCCATAGTCCTGGCCTTTCTGTGCTGAGTTTCTGGAAAAGAGGGATTTTGCTTTAGTTTGTAGCAAGAACATTGAGGTAGTCCATTTTCTGTGAACACTTCCCTGTTCCCTAATGGTCTCTTCCCATGGCTCCTTTGAGCAGTTCTGTCTGAAAATTTTGAAAGAGATTTTTCTAGTTGTCAACAAAGGGTTTTAGAAGGGTATCTGTATTTTGAAAAGAACTTTGTGTTTACAGGCCCTTCCATCTCAGAGCTTTGATCCCAGCCCTGGAGGGCTACAAGGTAGAATAGTGTGTTGCAGAAGAGTGTCTTCCATATCAATGTTTTTGGGTTTGAAAACAAAAGATCTTTCTTTGCTTCCTTTATGAAAATGGGCTGCTCTGCTGTAGGAGATGAACTAACACTGAGCTCATTTCTCAGCCACTGATTCACTTCAGTGCAAGTTAAAGAAATTATCCATGTCACATTTTGATATCTAAGCCATAGCACTTTACATTTATTATGGTTTTATTGTAGGTTTTTCCAAAATTACTTAGAACTCACTGACTCTTGTCTTTTATGGTGCCAGTGACCCACAAGTAAAAGCATTTTCAGCACATGTCAAAAACCATCTGATTGTTTTGTGCATTCCTTTGCTTTTCAATATTTTTTTAGGTTTACAAGGCCAGAACATCTAGGAAGCAGTGCCAAAATCAAATGTAGTGGTTGCCATAGCTACCAAGAATCTACCAAACAACTCACTATGAAGAAGTTACCCATTGTGGCCTGTTTTCATCTCAAAGTAAGTTCACAGGGGGCCAACAGAGCAGAGGATATGATTTCCTCTCAGAGAGGATGGGTTGAATTCTTGGATATGTCTTCTGGCTTTCACTGACTAAACTTTTATGATATAAATTAATATAAAAAACATCTTGTCTTGCTCAGCTAGATTTTCTGTTAAGATAGTGTTTCATTATTTCTGATATAGCTTTGCAGTGTGTTTGGGAGAGCTTAACCAGTTTGAATGAAAGGCTGGTCCAAAACCTGAACCAGCACAGAAAACAATCTCAAGTTACACTCCCTCATCCTACATGGTACAATTTTTACACTTTCACTGAAAGATTGCCACTGTATTGAAGGAAAAGCATGGAAAAGTTCTGATATCAATGGAGAAACATTATTGAATCTTCCCAAATGTAATGAAGTTTTAAACATTTTAAATATTTCCAAAGCAGATGTCACGTGAAATTATGACAGACAATGTCACAGTTGGGGCCCTTGGATAGTTTAGTCCTATACAATTTCTGTCTGAAATGCAGTGTAAAGTGAGCAGCTGTCACAGCAGGTGAAGGTCATCCTCTGTCAAGATGGATCCACATCCTAGAAGAAGGTGTTACAGGTGGAAAGACTTCCCCCTCTAATTCACAGGCCTGCAGGTGTTCATCCCCACCAGCTTCTTCAGCTGCATCTCGAGCATTGACCATGAGGATGTGCAATGTCACATGCCAAAGATGTTATAGCCTGACTGGACTGGGTAGAAGCACAGTTCCTTTGTTTTGATTTGGTTGTTTCTGATCTTCCTGAAGGATATTGTTTCATCACTGAGTTGAGGTTTCAGGAGTGCTTGACTTTTGGAGGCAGTTTTGGGCTTTTGTTTTTATTGCTATGGAGTAGTTGACAAGATAGACCTTCATGATTCTGCTCTTTAGGCAACTCAAAGTCAAGGTGGATGTGCTCCACTCCTTTCCTATACATAGTTCAGTATTTGTGTCATCCCAAATGGCTGAAGATTTTTTGGAAAATAAATTACTTTTCCTAAGTGATTGTGTTGTCCTGTCTACGCAAAATGCAAATTTCATTTTGTGTGTTAATGCAAGAGAGAAACACAAAAGGTAAGAATTACAGAAGTCTCAGCTTTTCACATCTGGATCTGTTGCTAGGGAATTGTTACAGCATCACAATTGGAAAATAATTAACTTGAAGTGTAAATAGAGCAGAATTTCTGAGAAATTGAGAGGGAAGCTGCCTTTAAATAGAAACTCATTCATCTCTGGTATTTGTTCCTGTTTCCATTTAATGTTCAATGAAGGAGACGAGGAGAGGATGGTGGGTATTGCAGGCCCCTTTTGGCTGAGGGACAAGGCTTTTTTTGTTAGCATAATCCATTTTTTGCCATAATTTGAATGGGTATTCCTGTGTAGGTTTGACTCCTGTCACTTGAGATGATTGGATGGGTGGATTCAGAATATGAATCCAAAGACAAACTCTGTTATCATGGGTTCTGTGAGCCAGGGTAGGCAGCAGCCATGGGTTTGTACAGCCCTAGCGCCAATGAACACTGCTTTGGGTAAAGGCTGTCTGTGCTCTCCCTGTTTAATGTATTTTTTTCTTTGATGTCAGATGAGAGTAAATTTGTATGCATAGATGTTAAGGTAAATAATCTAATTAATAGTGTATCAACACAAATGTTTATTTTCCTGGGAGAAATATGTTGTTATTTACTTGGACATTCCCAGAGAGCTGGTGGAAAAAATATGGGGCTGTCCCTGCAATGTCCTGCTAATGTGCTTTCATGTTATTGTTTCTAAGCTGAGGACAAAAAGACATAAAATTTAACTTTTCTCTAAAGAAAAAACCTCTTGCCTTTGCCTGCAGCGGTTTGAACACTCAGCCAAACTGAGGCGGAAGATCACTACGTATGTCTCGTTTCCACTGGAGCTGGACATGACACCTTTCATGGCTTCCAGGTGGGTTCCAAGTCCAAAACCCTCCACAGACCTGAGCAGAACTGGTTCCCAGTTCATACCTGTGCAGCACAAAACAAGGAGCGTACTTGAGGGTACAGAACAGTGTCTGTGGTGGTACTTCTGCCATGAGCATCTCTGTGGAAGGTGTAGCTTGTCTAAACCCATTTTTAGATAAACTGTTTCGTTTCATGTGCCTGAAAAGGATTTATATTTAAACATTGTGGTGGGATTCTTTAATTAATGTGTGTTATGTTTCTGGTTGCCTGTTAAATTTATAGACCCAGATCCATCCTGCCTTCAGATCCCTGCTTTGGTCCCATCCCCTCAGTGCCCACCCACCTGCCATCCTGTGCAGTTGGCCAGAACAGAGCCAACTTAATCCCTAACAAGTATTCCTGAAGTTATAAAAATCCTTCCTCTTTATTCCTGCACATACGTGAATCTGGGGGTTTTTGTTTAGTACCTTCAACTTCTGTTTAGAGAATGCTGCAAGAAGCAAAAACATAGTCCAAATTAAAATAGAAACAGCAAGACTTCTTCCACCTCCCAGGTTTGTGGAAGATGTGGCATTTATATAAATGCACCTTTATGAAAGGAATTTAATCAGCTTAATTAAAAAGTCTTTGTCAGGTATTCATGCAAATATGCAAGAGGATATTCAGATTTAATTTATATCTGAAGCACTGCAGAAAGCCCCAAACCATGGTATCTCTTAACAGAGAGACTCTTTTTGATGCTGAGATTTTACTTACAATTTCAAGCTTTGCCTGCGCTCCTCATTTCCCAGGAAAAAAAGTAGATGCATCTACCAAGAGATAAAGGAGAGCCCTGAAGCTCTGTTAAATACTGTTATATTAAGAATATATGGTTTATTCCAATATATTCTGCAGATTTTGAGACTTCCTTGTTCCTCTGTGGCAAATTCTCCCTGGATAGAGCAGGCTCTGCTGATGAAAGTATCAAGCATAATGGAATGGAGATGGGATAATCAGCAGGCATAACTCAGTAGTCTGAATTTCACCAGCTAGGAAATCAACAGCATAATCCTATTGCTGCTGTCAAAACACAAAATGAATTTACAAGTCAGAGCCAGGATGACTGACCCATCACAAGATAAAGGATTGATGTAATTAGATAATTTCCTGGGTTTCAAATACAAATCTTTTCTTAACCTGTTTTTAAGCTTTTTGGATAAAACATTTGACATAAACAGATGTGTATTTGCAGCATTGAAGCCTTGACCAGGAGGAGAAATGGTATTTGTGATGTAGCACTGCTGTGAGAGCAAATAAAGCATCTTTAGCATCCTAATCAGCCCTTTGCTGCTCAGCTGGAATAAGGACCTGGATTCAGCACACAGGCTGTGTGTCATATCAGAGCAATTTCCTGGGTTTGGGAAGCCACTGCTTTAAGTGACTGGATTTTTGTGTGTGTGTGTGTTGCAGTAAAGAGAGCAGAATGAACGGGCAGTACCAGCAGCCGACGGATAGTCTAAACAATGATAATAAGTAAGTGGTACATTCCATGACTCCTATTGTGAAAGGTAGTTGCCTTCCAGAAGGAGATGGTGTTGCTTTATATCCTGCAGTGCATTACCATATCTGACAGCACAATAAGTCTGAAATGTTGCAAAATAAAGCTTCACTCACTGCAGTTCCTGCCCTTCCGTGGGGCTGTGGCAGCTGTTCCAGAGCTGAGGGTGATGCCCCCAGCAAATGGTCTGGGGGCAAAATTAAATGCTGTGGTCACCATATTTATTACAAGGGATGGGTGTTTCCTTGAAATACTCCTCTTCCCATTCCAATGGCAAAGGGAGTTCCAGAGGACCAAAGAAAGCTAATAGAACACTGACACTCAAAGTCAGGAGTAAATGATCCCAGTAATCCCGTGGTCTATTGGTCAGGTATTGATTCCAGTTGGAAAAAATGATGGACTGGTGTGGGATTTGCTCAAGAATGTAAAGGGGCTGTAATTGAAACTAATATCCATTGTTTTATGGGACTAGAAATGGTCACACAAACCCTACCTCTTCAGTTACATAAAGTTAGAAGTTCCATGGCTGCTGCTGTGTATTTAAATTCAAGGCACTTGGTTTGCTACTAAAAGTTTCAGTAAGAAACCGGAATCACACAAAGATGTAAAACCAAACAATCCAGATCTTAATGCAGGTGTTGTGTGGGCCTACAACTTGAATCATTAGATGTGGGGTGTTCACTAGTGTTAGAAAAGGTCTGAAGGTAACACAGCTGATCACTTTGGAGGTTTGCACATGCCTTAACTTGGAGAAATTGTTAAAAATTAATCAGATTTAGGTAATGAGAGCAAAGACATTTGGATTCCTGAGGGATCTGGGTGCCAGGGAACAGCTGGGGCAATGTCAGAAGGCTCCAGCTGTGGCTGAAGGGTGCAGTCCATCCTAGTTGGATTCAAGGACTCCCCTAGAGAGGATGGCTCTAAATCAGTGGCTCTGTAGGCAGTCAGTGAATAGGTGCCTTGTTGTGGCACTGCTGTGTCAAAAGAGTTCTGTGAATTTTGAATTTGAGTAGGACAATATCAAGTGAGATTAGGGAGATTGTTTTACCATTGTGTAGCTGTGCTTGTGTCACAAAGTGTGAGAGCAGCATTTTATGAAAGAGTTAAAAGAGAGTGGAAAATACTTGAAAAAGAGCCACTAGTGTATTTAAGACTGGAAACAAAATCTTACCTTAGAACAAAAGAGCCAAAGACTTCAGTCTTGCACTTTTAAAAAAATAAAAGGGAAAAGAAAATGAGAGCAACTTGATTATCAGTATCTTTTTTGGAACTGCAGACATGGGCCTGCAGGTTTTCAGGCAAATGCACAGCAGCACCTGAGAGCTGGAAGCTGAGGCTGAATATATTCACATTTCAAAATAAGTATAGGCTTTGCAGATTAAGGACAGTTAATCAGTTCAGCAGTTTATCATTAGAAATATCTAAGATTACCCCCTTCACCATACCTCAAATGCATTTTTTCTGGTTCACTAGAGTAAATCAGGGAAGTAGAAGGTCAGACTGGATAATCAGTGGTCCTGTTCAGGAATGCACCAATATTGATCTATTTTAGAAGTAAATTTGATAGCCAATATTGGTAAAGCTGACAGTGGTCACCAGACTGGAGAGTTGCAAAAATAGCAAGACAGGAAAAGAAAAATGTTTCTTTTTTTCCCCTGAGCAAGGCCACTCTCTTCCCAGCTAGTTTTAAAGCTGGTGTTTTACTGATGGATCAGTTCCTTTACCATTACTATGTGTGCTTATGAACAAAAGCTTCTGCCTGTGTGAAATGTCTGTTGTTTTCCCCCTTTTGATGCACGTATTCATGATGTGTTTTCTGTCCCAGGTATTCCTTGTTTGCAGTAGTTAATCACCAGGGAACCTTGGAGAGCGGGCACTATACCAGCTTCATCCGGCAGCACAAGGACCAGTGGTTCAAGTGTGATGATGCCATTATCACCAAGGCAAGCATTAAGGATGTGCTAGACAGTGAAGGGTAAGTGGTCACCTGGGAAGGGGAAAGGAAGGCAAACTTTAACCTTTGTTGTGTTTTCCTTACTTTAAAAAACTCATTTTAATCATAGAGAAGGATAATTTCTCTCTTGAATATCTCTCGTTATGCTCAATGCTTCAGCATGGAGACTGGACAATTATATTTATACATAATTGCTTTATAACCCTGGATTTGCTGAAGGAAAGGGAGGGGACATCAGATGACACTGCAATGTCTGGAACTGGTGCTCATGTCCAAATTCCTGCTAATGGAAGGGATTCTGAAAACCAGAGTGATGTGATCACCCAGTGCAGGAGCAGTGCTTAACTCTGGGACACAATCCAGTCTGTGCCTGCAGAACCTTTGGATTATTATGAATGTAAAAGATTTGAAGAAAAGCCATTAAGGAAGTGCTGTGACCCAGAATAGCAAGGCTCTATGGGAGGCAGGTAGAGAACATGAGCTGTTTCTAAGCTTGTGGCTTTAAATTAATCTCAGATTGACATTATGGCTTCTGATATTTGTATTACACAAGTTTTGGGAGGACAGAGCACTATTTTTCAGGGGAAGCACTGTGGTGTTCCTCATTTTAGGGAAGCACTGAGGACTGGTGTATGTTCCAAGAAAAAAGCAACTTAAGGCTTTAAGTCTTCATTTTGCATTTTTGTCTGTGGACTTGGTGCTGCAGAGATAAGTCTTTACCATTTTTGTTTTAATTATTCATGACATTTTCAAGGATTGCTGCAGGCACAATGTTCAGGTTGTAATTTTTTTAATAGATTTTCCTTATTTTCCTTTTTTTAAACTTCAATTGGGAAGTTAAAACAGAAATCTATAATACCTGAATTTTAGTGTTAAATGACTTGACAGGGAACTTCTGCTTTGAGGTGAGCAGAGAAACGAGTTTGTTGTAATTTAGTAACACATGCCTGGTGCTCAGATGGGGTTATGCCCATGGAAGAACCTGCCAGAGGCAAGGAGGAGAGGATGTACAACACAACTATTGCCCATAAAGGCTGCTTTGAGCTTTGATGCATTTCCCTGGTTCAGATGAAGGCTGACATGGTAGCTCTGTGTCGTGTGAGGGAATCCATAGGACTTGGATGGAATTAAAACAATTGGAACATCTCACAAGTGCTCTGAGGACTCAGCAGTGGCTGTGTCAGTGTGGGAACAGGGTTGTGTGGGGATCAGTCCCCTTCTTCTGTGTGACTGCTCAGGGGCTGGGCTCCCTTCTGTACCAGTACACACCCAGTAATTAGGGACAGGAAAGATTTCATCCTTTAAAACACCAGATTTGAGTGCACATTGACGCATCAGATATTTGACTGGGACATGAGTGTTCACACACGTGGCTGCTGCTTCATTTTGCTTCTGTTCTACTAAATGGGAGGCAGTTTGCAGTAATCCTGGTCTGAGCTCTGGTAGTGCAACTCTAAAGCTACAGCTGCATCTTAAAGCACCTTTATTTTGTGTCACATTAGTGTTAAATGGTTGCTGACTGACTGGGCCCCTACAGAATCCAATCTTCCAGAGTTTTCAGTTCCTGAGTAGATTTTAGAAGGTTTGACTCTTTCATAGGATCATAGAATGGCCTGGCTAAGAGAAGACCTTAAATCTCATTTCACTCCAACCCCCTGCCATGGGCAGGAACACCTTTCACTATCCCAGGTTACTCCACGTCCTGTCCCTGGCCTTGAACACTTACTTACAGAGATGGGGCATCCATGGGGCTCCTCTTTGATGTACGGCTGTTCAGTTCCCTGAGTTGCTGGTAAAATTATGTCAGCTGTCTTCCCTCCTCTCTCTGTCCCTGGAATCGCCTCAAATTGAAAAGAAAACCAGAATTAACAGCCCTTATGTCTTATGGTTGCATCAATGGAAACTCATCTGCTTCAGCACAGAACTGACACTGTCCCTCTGCTTTCTTCCAGATATTTGCTGTTCTATCACAAACAGTTCCTGGAGTATGAATAGCCTTATCCAGCAGCTTGTCAGATGTAAACAAGGAAGAAACAACGCAAGCCTTCTGAATCGACACACAAACCTACCTGAAATGAAAAGACCCATTACAAACCAACTCGCACTGAGCTGTAACAGGACCTACTTGACACTGACTCACAGCCTGGAGAGTGAGAAATGAACAATGTCCAACGTGTGTGCAGTCCCATGAGGACAGAAAGGGGGAAAAGAGGCTGCAGTCAGTCACTTAACAGAGGAAATATAAAATGAAAGGAATGCTCTGGGTGGGGGAAATGGGAGCAGAGGAGTCCGGGCACTGGTACATCTCCTGTGTTCCTCCAAAATGTGTGTGGGAAGGCAAAGGATTCTACCCTCATCTCCATAAAGCATCTTCTCCATTTGGTGCTTCAGCTCCAACGACCAATCATATAACAGTTAAAATTTAAAAATCCAAACCCATTTTTTTATGCATATGGGTCTGAAAGCAGTAGAGTGGAGGAGGAGGGGATGAGACAACTAAAGGACTTTGCAAGTATCTTTTTATTTGTGAATTTTAGTTATTAAATAAATACAGTATGAAACTATTAGGCTCTTTTTTTTCCAACAACCACAAAAGAAATCCTGGATTGTGGAACTGAAGCTGCAGTACTCAGACAGGTTTTCAAGCATGCCTGCTTGCACAGGTAATGTTCAATGCCATTGGACTGCTCATCCAAAAGCATCAGCACAGATTCTGTTGTTTGAGCCCTTTTTTGTTTTGTTTTCTATAAATAGCTATTTTCTTAATTTTTTTTCCTTTTATTCCCTTTTTTCACGAGAATGAAATTCATAAATGCAACCATCAGTAAAAATGAATGAATTGGCGTGTTTATACTGTAAGAGTGGTCTTGGTTCTTTTTGAGTTTTTTTTGTTTGTTTTTTTTAATCTTGTGAATAAGTTTGGTATTTCTCAAAGGCGCTTGTTTTATTGTTGCTGGTTTTGGTTTGTTTTATTTTTTCCCTTGCTGCCTTCCAAAGGTGGATTTATATATATATATATATATACATATATATATATATCTGACACTTGAGAGAACCTCAGTCGTGAAAAATGTACCATCTGTTGGGAACGATCGCTGCCCGGGCAGCTTTGAGCGATGGATCTGCTGCTATTGAGCCCTTCTGCAGTGCTCTAAGTAAACAACACATTTTCCTGGTATGTGCTAGGCTGGTATTGGTTCCTTGTATCCTCCCACATGGATTAACTCTTCACGTGCTCTTCTCCTCTTGCAGTGCCACAGCCTGTGTGTTGGTGTTCTCAGCTCGCAGCTCTGGGGCCTTTCCTCCCCCTCCATCGCTCTGGGGAGCTGCTCGTGCTGGATCTTGGCTCTCAGGAGCTTGGGCTGGGGGTGGAATCACAGCCTGGGAGAGGAAGCCTTCAGAACAGAGCTGGAAGGGCAAAAATAGCTTTGTTCTCCCTTGTGGAGAGGGTGAAGTGTCAGTTGGGCACTGGGTAAATTGGTGTCGCACCAAAAGTCACACAGTGGTTTGGATCGGACTTTGAGGATCATCTTGTTCCAGCCCTTGCCACAGGCAGGGACACTTTCCACTATCCGAGGCTGCTCCAAGCCCTGTCCAACCTGGCTTTGGGCACTTCCAGGGATTATGGGGCAGCCACAGCTTCTCTGATCTTTAACCTCTGCATAAAACCCCAGCCAGCCATTCCTTGGCTTTGCCAGTGTGGAAAGGCAGGGAGGGATCTAAGCCTTTATTTCTGTGCTCTAGGAATGAGGTACGGCTGTCTAACCCACCTGAGACACAGCCTGATAAACAGGAAAATAAGGGAATTGAGTGTGTTTGGTTTTTAAATGACCACCTTACAAGAGCAGCTGAGCAGAAGGACGATGGAATTCTTTCGATTTGCACACAGCCTGGAACAGTACGAGGAGGTTTTGTACGTCTGTGACAGGGCAAGGAGGAGGAAAGGATGAGTTGAAGCATCTCGAGTCAGACGCAGGAGGTTGGGTGTGGTGTGGGTAGTGCTGCCGAGGCCATCGCGTTCCCTGCCTGTGGAACAGCACATCGCGCCGGGTTAATTCCATTTCCATCGGTACTCGGTGGCGCACGGCTGAACCGGAGCGTTCCTGCGGTGGAGCCCGGCTGGGGAGCGGCAGCCGCGGCCCCTCCTTCCCCCGGGCCGGGCACGGGATCGTGCGGATGTTCCGCTGCTCTCGATAATGCAGCAGCCTTGCGGAGGAAGGCAGGACCCAGCCCCTCGTCATTCCCGGCTGCTGCATTGGCATTCCCGCCTGGATGAGGACTGCCACCGCCCGGTGAGGATGAGGATGGCTCCGCTGGTGCCTTCCCTTTGTAGCGCCGATGTCTGAGCCTTTGGCTGCCCTTCTAATGAATTCTGTTTTCCACAGCACACGCTCAGCCGGCGGAGCTGCTGCAGCCGGCTTTGTTAAGCCTTTAGGAACAAATTGTTTAGGGACGAGGCAGCCGTATAAATCACCCTTAATTTTTCCTCCCCGCCCATCTGGTGGAGAGGGTTCTGCTCTGTGCGGCTGCACATGGTTCTCGGGGGGAGCTTTCAAGGGTCTCTCTGGTTTCAAAAGCGGAATTCTTGGGGTATTATAAGGTCTATTATTCTTTTCTTTCCCCTCTGACCCGCCTGCCACCCCAGCCCCCGTGTCCGAATCACACCAGGTTCTATTTCCAGCAGCAGTAAATCCATGCCGGTTCTGAGAGGAGCGGACGGCATTTTCCCTTTTCCTATAAAAATAGAAAAGCAGCTGCTGCCGTACGAGCAGCGCTACCCCTCATGTTGCTTTCTCTCAAACACAGCCTTCTCTCCCTCTTCATCCCTCCAGCAGCAGCCAGGCAGCTCCTGCACTGAATTATTCCCGGCAGAGCCGGGAGGTTCCTCCGTGGAGCTCCCTCAACATCACCTGGAGGAAAACGCCGGCCACGGAACAGGCGAAGGGAGGGTCCCTGATGTGCTGACAGTCAGCAGTGACAGCTCCTCGTCCGGGGAAGCAGTTTGGGCTTGACTTGTTTATTTTGAGGTTCATTTTCTCTCGGCACAGCTGGATCTTTTGGGAGGAGGCATTTGCAGAAATGACTGGAAACAAAGACTGGTGCAGCGATGCAGGCTCACGGTGGGGTGTGTTCTGTTACCTGCCTGCAGTGAGCACAGCTCTACAGGGGACACAAAACAGCTAGAAAAGTGGCTTTAGCTACATTTTTATGTCCCTCAGCCACTGGAGTAGAGATAAAGCTTTGCCTGATGGAGAAAGCAGAAATGTGAGAACTGGTTAAACCCTGGGCAGGAGCTCTTGCTCAGAATCAGTGTCCTTAATTCCACTTGGTTTAACTCGTCCCATCTGGAATTGCTGCTGTCCTGTACACAGTGTCCCTCTAATATTGGAACTGATGTCTCCCTTTGGAGCTGCTGGCCAGTGGCTGTAGAATGTGATGCCAAACCATTGATTCCTCTTGGTTCTCCAGCTAAGGGTGTTCATTTTTTTCCTGCTAATTTGTTCAAGTTGCTCTGTGTTACCTTTTCTCTGCTGATAATTGTAGTTACATTCCCACAAGGAGGGGAGGGTGAGGAATGTTTCTCTCTTGTATCTGGGAAGGACTTGGCTTCTGATGAGTGTTTTCCCCAATTTTTGAGACACCACATGGTGACAGGAGGAGCAGCCCTGTCCCAACTCTGGCTTTGCCTGGATGTGAGGTGAGTGGCCTCCTGAGCCTGCTGGGGCAGGAGCTGCTGGTGCCCCACAGGGTCAGCTCCTGCTCTCACTGGCACAGGCATGGCCCTAAAATCCTTCTCATTTGAATAATTGATGCCTCTTGATCCTCCAGGGATGCTCTAACTGCAACACTGGTGCCACGTGTTCACTTAATTCTGTCCTGTTTTTAAATAAGGCTCTGAATCTCTTTGTATAAATACCATGACCAGGGGTTCCTGGAGGTGACACTTGAAGGTCTGTAGGGCACCAGAGCTGGACTGGATCCACGTGTCCCCAGGAACTCCCTGCTGGAAAGGGGCAGCCTGGTGAGGCACCAGCTGCTGCTGAGGGTTCTTCTTTCTCCTGAATTCCCTGTCCTGACTGGGAAGTGCCTGGGCAGAGGGGGCACGGAGCTGGGGGCGTTCCCAGCCCTGGTGTCAGGGGAAGATGTGCTGGTGCTGCCCCAAGGTAAGTGCAAAACCCTTCATGTGGAGCACTGATTCCAGCTCTGGAGCCCCTGACATAAACAGGATGTGGAACTGTGGAGAGTCCAGAGAGCTGCTCTGAGGGCTGGAGCTCCTCTGCCATGGAGCCAGGCTGGGACAGCTGGGGATGCTCACCTGGAGAAGAGAAGGCTCCAGGAGAGCTGGAGAGGGACTGGGGACAAGAGCAAAGGGTAACAGGACAAGAGGGAATGGCTTCCCAGTGCCTGGGGGCAGGGTTAGATGGGAAATTGGGAAAAAAATCCTCCCTGTGAGGGTGGGGAAGCCCTGGCAGAGGTTGCCCCGAAAAGTTGTGGCTGCCCCTGGATCCCTGGAAGTGTCCAAGGCCAGGCTGGATGGGGCTTGGAGCCACCTGGGACAGTGGAAGGTGTCCCTGCCCATGGCAGGGGTGGAATGGGATCATCTCGAAGATTCCTTCCAACCCAAACCATCCTGGGATTCTCCCTGCAGAGTCTGGGAAGGGAAACCCAGAGGAGGAAGAGATGTGGGGCTGTCGGTGCTGGGGGGCCCCAGGGAGGGTGGGGGATGTGGTGCTGCAGGAAGGGAGCAGGAGCAAGGGGTGAGGAGAAGACAAGTCTTTGGAGGTCTGAGCACAAGCAGGAACCTGAGGAGAACCAAGAGGGAGACTGAAGGATGTAGGAGAGAACGGCAGAGCAGGAGATGATGGGAGGGCAAGAAAGAGGCTGAGCTGCAACAGGACCCAAGAGCCTGGGGGCTGAGGGAGAGATTAATCCATGCCAGGGTGCAGAATGAGGGAGAGCTGAGGCTGAGCAAGGGTTGGAGGCCAAGGGGACTTCTGGGGCTGAAGATTTTGGAGTCCTAGAGGAATCAGGTTGCTATTGATGCCAGAGGATTTGGGGCCGTGGTGTAGGAGATTGTGGGGCAGGAAAGCACAGGTCTGGGGATCACAGGAACTGACAGCAGGAGAGCTGAGGGCACTGGAACAGATTCCACAGGAGGGAGCTGAGGCTGTGGAGGTGGAGGGGAAGGTGCTGATGAGAGAAGAGAGGCCAAGGGGGTCTCCAGGTTTGCTGGGACATAGAGAAGGTCTGGAGGTTGGGAGGCCATGGACTGTGGGTGCCAAGAGAGTGGGAGGTGACCAGAGTGAGAGGCTCGACCTCCCAGGCAATGCCTTTTTTGATGATCAGAAAGTCTTTACATTTAAAGGAATGTATAATATAGAGGGGATAGAAGCCATTATAACTCTGCTCATGTCTGCTGTCTGCTTTCCCAGCACCAATTTGTGCAGATATTGAATTACATTTATTCCTTCAAGTTTAAAGCTCTAGTTTGAGACAGTGGAGGGGATAGGCTCCTACCAAGAGGGATTCCTCACCAAACAAGAACTTCCTACAGTCTCCTTCAGTGGAAATGTGAACTTCAAGTTGCACATTGAAACCCCTATTTTTCCTTGGTAGCTTTCAAAGCCAGGTTAGATAAAAAATATTCTCTCAAAACAGCTTTATCTCCAGCTGATTCCTCACTTTTACCAGCTCTTCAGAATAACCCAGGCCAGACATACATAAATCCAGTTTTGTAGAAAGATCTCAGCCTTGGATGAATTTTCATATTTAAACCAAATTCCACTGAGGATTTTGGTGCCTGTCCCAGCTCCTCATGTTCAGCATCGTGTCCTGGTCATGAGGCAAAGGCCACACTGACTCCTTAGAAATTTCACCAGTAAATCCTTGGATCCAATTCCACATTTGAGACATTTACAGCTGTGTTGAAAATTGTTCTGATACATGAAGGAATCTCCAAGCAGGGAGAGGTGAGCTCTCCATGGGGACCAGTGGGCACCACCTGGTCCTTTGCAGAGATGCTGGTGGTGGAACCAGGATGAAAAGCCCCCATGAGATGTCCCCAATGGCCAGGATGCACCCAGGGCAAGCTGGAGGATGAAGTCAGATGCTGCTACATGGGAAGTGACTTCTTTCACTGGGAGTGCTCAGGAATAAAGGGAATTCAGTTTCCTGAGTGGAAGCAAACAGCTCTGTGCAACCTCCAATCCCGTGTGTATCCTACAGCCCTTGGCACAGCCTGGGCTGGGTAGAGGCTGTTCTGGTCACTGGCAACAGAGAAGCAGCTTTGATTTGGGGGCAGAGGGAGCATCCCTCCGTTCTGATCCCGTGCTGGAACATCCACTGTGCTCACACCATGGGTGTCTTCTCTTGGGAAGGAGAACAGATGATTTTGAAGTGGCCGTCGTCAGGGCTGGGAATGGCCCCGGCGCTTCCCGTGCTGCAGATCCCAGAGAAGGAGGGAGCAGCTCTTTCCCCAGGGTGACAGGAGCTGCTGTGACAGGATTTGGTCTCTTGTACCGCAGAGCCATGTCCAGGGAAGCAGAAGCCACAGGTTTCCACTGGCTCTGGGATTCTGATGCTGGTGAATCCATCACCAACGCTGCCAGCTTCCACCAGCCGATCTGCAAATAAACTCTGCATCAGCCGAGGGGGTTTAGGAGCAGCTTTTACCTGAGAATGCTCTGAAGTGCTGCACTAGAGCCTGTGAAAAGCTGCTCCTGGAACCGGAGAGGACACCCAGCTCCCAGCATGGATTCACTGCATCACCTGAAACACCCAGAAAATCTCTCCAAACCTGCTGGTTTATCTTAAAAATGACCCCTTGATCCCTGTGTCCTTCAGCAAAGCAGACAGGAATGGCTTGAGGGACAGTCCTTAGAGTGACTCCAGGTGTCACATTGGCTCATGGGGTCTTCCTCTGTGATTTTTGACATTCATGGCTTTGAGGTGGATTTATGTAAACATGGATGTGTGTGATGTGTGTGCAGAAATAGGTAAGTAGGCAATTTTTCTTTGGAAAGGCAGGAGAGAAGAAAAGAAGGAAGAATAAAAACACCTTCTCCATGTTGAATTGTTCCACATTGTCTTTTGTGCTTTTCTCCCTAACAGAAGGACTTTGTGAAGCCCCTCTGGCTGCAGAACTGAAACTGGGTTTTTCTGGGACAGGTGTTTGTTTTGGAAGAGTGTTGGCTTTTCTCCCCTCAGCCTCTGGATGGAGACTGGAGAGGTCCATGGAGCTATGGAGCAGCTCCAAGAGGGAAGCTGTGCCTGGGGCTTTGCTGAGTGCCTGAGGGGTTACAGAATCAGGCACAGGGGTCCACTCTGCTCCTCTTCCAGGCTCACACTGGTTGTCTTTGCTTTTTCTGCCTCCCCAGGCTTTGAGCCTGCCCCCCACAAGCTCCCCAGCCTCTCCCAGTGCCCGCAGCGCTGCAGCACCCACCTTTGGCAGGGTCCTCCCGGCGGTGGCAGGTCCCAGCGCTGGCCTGGCAGGAGACCCCCTGTCCCTTCCTGCGCAGGTGGGTCCAGCCCAGGAGCAGGGAGCAGATGAGGGAGCAGAGGCAGAGCCCCAGCAGCAGGTACAGCACCAGCCACGGCTCCTGCTCCGCACACGCCTTCTGCTCCAGCCCTGCCGCCGGCCCTGCGGGTGTGGCTGTGGGGCAGGAGAGAAGGGGCAGCTCAGACACCCTGGGGTGGCTTTCTGACAGGGAAAGAGCTGAAAGCACCTGTGCCCTCCACTGGGAAGGAATTTTAGAGCGGCTCTGTGTCACCTCTGTTGGCTGGTGTCTCCATGCCATGGTGAGGCAGAGGAGATCCCTTCCCACACCCCGTTCACACCCTCCCTCATCTCCAGGGATCGTCTCAGCCCCAGGGCAGGACTTGGAGATGTTGGAGATCTCCCCGAGCCCTCCTGCTCGCCCTCCCCGAGGGCTGGGGCAGCTCAGCCGGGTGGGATCCACAGCTGCTGTAAAACACCAGCACGCGACAGGGAAAAAACCCTGTAGGATGGAGAAAATGGGAAAGATGCCCTGGCTGCTTTTCCCCAGCCCCAGTGAAATGGAAGCCCCCAGAAGTGCAGTCCCCTAGGACAAAGTGGGGGTGTTTTGGTGCCCCTTCCCCAACTCACGGTCGCAGGACAGGGCACATTCCTTGGGGTGCTGCCCGCACACCGAGCTGCACTCGATGCAGTTCTTCACAAGGTCGTCGTAGTAAAATCCAGGTCTCTTGTTGCAGTCCATGGACTCTGGAGGAGGGCAGGGAGGTGGTCACGGTGTCCTCAGCCCATCCCCACCACCCCAATGCCCGGCCTGGTGAGAGGATGAGCCCAGCTCACTGCTGGGGTGAGACCTGCCCAGTGCCCGAAGCACTGACAGCCTCTGCAGGGCTGCCAGGGTGACAGATCCATGGATTTGGGGTGGTGTTGGGCTGGAGAGCCGGGACAGGCGTCTGCTGGCAGCTGCTCAGGCTGGGGATGGTCTCAGCCAGGCAGAGGCAGCTGTGCTCACCTGGGAGCTCCTGGCTGCTGCTCTCAGAGCTGCTGCTGCCGTCCCAGGGCTTGCACGGCTTTTTGGGACACACTAAAACCTGCCTCAGCGCTGGCTCAGGATGCCAGGAACGGCATCTCCTGTCCTCAACGAGGAGATTTTAATTTGTGGCTCCTGAATGAGCCCTGGGAGGGGCTGAAGCCACCTCAGCCTGTGACTCAAGGATGGGCGCTGGTGCAGGGTTGGGGTGCAAAGTTTCTCCCTTTTCCTCCTCCTCGCCTGTTTTTCAAGACAGCTCAGTGCCTGTCCCAGGTTGGGGGTTTATCACTATCCACTGATCCTGGTGGCTTCCCAGCCCTGCCTTTGGAGGGTGGGGTGGCCCTGATAGGGGACACGAGTGTTGATGCAGCCTTGTGACCCCAGAGGGGAGCAGAGGTGCAGGCACTTGCTCCTGGCCTTGCTCCGGAGCTGTTTCCAGCCCCAGCTCATCCAAGGGAAGCTGTCACATCCCCCAGTGGTTTTGGCTGGAAGCTTTGCAAATCTGAGCCAGCTCAGAGCCTGCCCTGGGTTCATCCTGGAGTCTGATCCTCCCTCCCAGCTTTGCCCCATCCCTGACTCTTCCATCCAGAGTCACCCCAGCACTCACCACACACAGCATCACACCTCCTGGCCGGGGACTGCCTGCAGGCGAGGCTGCAGGGGATGCACTGGGAAACGAGGGTGTCCCAGTACTCCAGGTCAGTGCAGTTCTTCATGGCATCCTGCCCCACACGTGTCCCATCCATGGCTGCAAAACAGACACACAGGTGGGTATGGGGTGGCCACCACTGGCCTGCTCTGCAGCCACCTTGTCCCTTTCTAGGGCTGGGACCCCTAGCAGGGAGGTCCTGGTGTCCCTCAGCCCTCTCTGATCCCAGGTTTGAGCAAGAGCAGCCAAATCTGCTTTTCAAGCTGTGTGTGTGTCCTGTGCCAGCCCCAGGGGACACACACAGAGCCCACCCTGGCTTAGAGGTGGCCCCGTGCTGTGCCCCGAGGGTCTGGGGACCCCTGCACCTGCCAGTGGAGCACAAGCACTGTGATCATTCCTGTCTTTACAGGCTTTTCTGAAAATACCAGAAACATGACCTTGTGTGTCATTCCTGCCCTTTCTCTTGAGTGTTCTGGTGTCATAGTGAAACCCAGGCTGATGTGTAAGACATGTCAGAGCAGAAGAAGGAGGGAAATCTCCCCAGGAGACTTTAGGCACTGTTGAACCAGTGCCAGCTGGAGGTGGACGTGCTCTTGTCCCTGTCACAGGCTGCTTGTCCCATCTTCCCCATGGGCTCCCCGTGCCCTTGTGCCCTGGATGTGATGCCAGAGGCACAGGAGCAGTTCTCAGCAGCATAAAAATCTGCTCAAAACTTTGCATTCTGAAGAATGAGCTGGCTGCTAAAAGCTCCTGTGTTGTGCCACATGCGGGGTCTGCAGCCAGCAGGACGGAGCAGCTGCAGGAAGCTCTAACCCAGCACGAGGTGGCCGTGGTGGAAATGTGCCTTTTGCTGCCTGGGAAGGCTCCCAGGAGCCACATCCCTCCCCAGAGCCGTGCCTGGAGCCGCAGCTGTTTCCTGCAGGGGTGGGAGATGCTGGTGCTGACGGGGCCCAAAGGTTTAAAACTTCCCCGAAGCCACAGCATCAGCCTCTGCGTGCCCTGAGTGTGAGCCTCTGCTTTGGCAAAGCCAAACTTTTGATTTTTGTACAGAAAATCCTCTGCACTCTGCCAGGATTTCTCCTCTCTCTCCAGGACTCGGGAGTGTGCAGAGATTGGGCACTTTGCATGTCCTGCACCTTCGCTACAGCGGGGCTGAGGATGGGCTGGGTCCTGCCTGGGGCAGCACGTGTGAAACCCTCCCATTCCCAGGGAAAAATCCTCTCTGCACTGGGATGCTGGCCTGACACTCCCATTTGTTCAATTAACATTGCTATAAAATTAAATAATGACTTTCTGTCGAGCTGACTGGAGACATTGCCAGGGCAGAGCGAGGCTCAGGCCATTGCTGTCCTGGGATGCTCTTGGAAGAATCTTTGTACCCAGAGAAGCCACAGGACTGGGGGTTAGTGCAAGCCCTGGGGATGGCAGGGAGCTGAGCCATCCTTGACCTAGGTGGGATTTCCCATGGGACAATTAATGGGAAGCGGATTTGGGGCTGTGTTAAAGCTGAGGGGCTGCAGGCTCGGACCCTCCCCCCCAGATGCTACGAGGACACGTCCAAGGGGATGTTTGGCCTCATCTTTCCCCCCTCAGAGTCCCAAGGTACATTCTCAGCCATGGGTTTTCCAGCAGAGCTAGGTGAGTCTTTCCCTCTCAACCACCAGGAAGCTCTGAATTCCCCACGGACCCCTCATACCAAGCTTTAAGAAACCACAGGACAAGGGGGGATGGCCTTAAGCTGAAGGAAAGTAGATTTAGATTAGCTATCAGGAAAAAATTCTTCCCTGTGAGGGTGGGCAGGCCCTGGCACAGGTTACCCAGAAAAGCTGTGACTGCCCCTGCATCCCTGGAAGTGTCCAAGGCCAGGTTGGACAGGGCTTGGAGCAAGCTGGGATGGTGGAAGGTGTCCCTGCCCATGGCAGGGGCTGGATGAGAATTAAGCTCCCCACCAGCTCAAAGCATTCTGCGATTCCCTCTCCAGCCCCACTGCACTGACCACCTTCAGCAAGGTGGGAGCTCTGAGCAGACCCTCCACTCCCTGCTGGCACTGGCAGCACGATAAAACCCAAGCCCTGGCACAGAGAAACCCCTCACCCCATCCCCCCGCAGCCCCCCATGGGGTAACTCACATCTGCCTCGCCAGCCGTGGCTACTCCCCCTCGGCTCCTGCCATGGCCCCACGAGCTGCAGCCCCGAGCCCCTGCATGGCTCAGGGGTTTATTATTAGAGAGATTTGATTAATGCCTGGGCTGTGCATTTCCTGGGGTTTCCCCTTGTCCCTTCCATGCAAATTGGCTGCACACTCAGCGCCTTGCATTGGCTCGTGGGGTCCCTGGGCTGCTGGGGACAGGGTGGGGGGACACTGCGGGGTGATGTGTCACTGGGACCAGGGACAGGTGTCCTGGGCCAGGTGGCCACATTTCAGAGGGCCTTGGTGGAGTGGGAGCTCTGCAGCACCTGCTCTTGCACCACAGGACTGCAGCAGAATCCCAGAATCATAAAAAGGTTGGAAAAGCCCTCAAAGATCATCGAGTCCAAGCATCCCCCCAGCACTGCCGCATTCACAGATGAGCCACATCCCCAAGTGCCATACTTAAACACCTCTTAAATCCCTCCAGGGATGGTGATTCCACCACTGTCCTCGGCAGCCTGTGCCAGTGGGATGTTTTCTTCAGAGAAAGGTGTTTCACTCTGTACAAGAGGCAATTGCCAGAAGCAGGCATCGCTCACAGCATCCATCTTTTCCACGTCCTCACGATGCTCAGCCCAAGCTACCATCCTGTCTCCTGCTCACAGCTCTCAGAAGGTCTCTGGAGCCCAGTGAGGTGTCTCAAACTCTGACTTTCTCTGTCAGGCATGTCTGGGAGGCAGGAGGGCTCTGCTATGCCCTGCATGGGCAGCTGAGTCCAGGCTGGGCTCAGGGCACAGAGCATTAATAACACACTAATAGCACATTAATAACACGTTAATAGCACATTAATTATATTAATAAGAGCACAGTAATAACACAGCTTGTTTTCACAGGGGGGAAGAGCCACCTCCACACTGCTGGCAGCATGCAGAGGTTGGTCCCTGCTTCCTGCAGAGATGCTGGGCATGGTTCTGGCAGTGGTGCCAGGAGGAGGCACGAGGTGCTGGGAGCGTGGCAGAACAGTGACTCAGCTCAGCCCAGAGGGACCTTTCTGCAGAAACAGCTGAAGGAGGAAGGAAGCAGCAATACCTGTTACTAAAAACATTAGTGGAGCAGCATCAAAGGTTTTTCTGTCTGGTTCAAAAACTCCTATCCTTGCCATGTGGAGCTGGAACGGAGAGGCTAGAGGATGTTTTGTTACTGTGTCCATTGCAGGGCATTGGAGGCTGATCCTGCTCGTGGGGAGCAGAGCCCAAGGCGGAGGAGCCCAGCATCTTGTGTTTGGATGTGGCTCCATCACACCCCAGATCCTGAAGGAGGGTGGGAAGCAGCACTGGCACCATCCAGTGAACCTCAGGGCTTGGAGCAAGGATGAAGAGAGGAGAAACCACAGCCCCGGGGACACTGCAACACTGCCACATGCCACACGTCGTGTACCTGGTGAAAAGGATGAGATCATTGCTGTGCTTGAGTCTCCCACTGGGAGGGGGATCATGATTCCGGCATTGCCTGAGCTGGCTGAGTGTGGCCGAGCAGGGAGAGACGGCCCCAGGCTCTCGGGGTTCTGCAGGGGAAACTCACCTCTGTAAATAGCACCAGAGACTTGCAGTTTCCACCCCGGTGAGCGCTCAAGAGGGAAGTGAGAAGCACTTGGGGGTGGTTTGTCCCTCCTCGCTGAGCAGGGATCAGGCAGTGTGCTTTCAGCTGTAGAATTCTGGGGCTGTGTGGATGGAGCCCCGTTTCTTCAGCCGTGTGCCCCAAACCTCATCACCCCTGTCCTACAGCCTCTGAGGATGATCCATGGCTCTCCAACACCTCCAGACATGGTCCCCATGAGCTCCTGTCTCACAGCCAAGGCAGTGGCTGCCACCCTGCCCTGCCTGGGCTGTTCCTGTGGTTTGGGCAGCCATCACCAGCCCTCCGCTCTGGATTTCTGGATTAAACCCTTCCTTTGTTGTGTTCACTGCTTCCCCAGAGCATCATCTAGCTGCTCCCTGTGCATCCTCCAGTGCAATGCACCCCTCTACATGGCTTTGTATCCATCTGCATCCCCCCTGCATCCCCCCACGTCGTTTTGCATCCTTCAGTGTCCATCTGCGCCTGCCTCTGGAGGTGCCACGCTCTCTTTGGGGTGACGGAGCCCAGTTTTGTCCTGACAACAAAAGCTGTTTTTCTGCTGGGCTCTTGCCCCAGGGGTCGTGCTGCAAGGAGAGCTGCAGGTAACAGCAGACAGGCAGGGTGGATAATGTTTGGCTCTGAAAACTTTTAGGGGGTTGAGCAGCTTTGCTGGGTGATTTTCTCCCTTCAGCCCATCTGCTTTCAGCGGTCCCGAGCCCTGGCCAGGATGTTTGCTCACACACGTGCCCCCTTCAGGACCTGAAGAAAAGGAGCTGTGGGGGAAGAAGGGGAAGAGAAAACTGCTTTGGAATAAAATACTTTTGGGTCGAAACTGCCAGCTTTGGAGCCGGGCTGAGCGCAGACGGCTCCGAGGGCTCATTTCTGTCACCCCAATTCCCTGTGGACGCGCTGGGGCCGGGATGTCCCCTGGGCATCCCCCCTGTCCTGCCACTGTCACCTCGTGGCACAGCACAGAGCCTCGGCTGCTGCCACCAGCCCGTGGGGACACCGTGGCCATGCCCAGGGACACCTCCGTGTGCCGGGGCCGGGCTGTCCCCCTCGGGGTGCGGCTCCTGTCGGCGCTGTGCGGATCTGTCCCCAGGAGATGGCACCCTTGGCCAGCCCAGCCCGGCTCCCCCTGGCTCCGGGGGCTCCGAAAATCCTCCGAGCCCCCGGCTCCAGCCAAGGCCAAGGGGAATCGCAATATATGGAATTTGGTTGGGGTTGAAGGGACCTTAAAGCTCATCTAGTTCCCTGACAGGAACACCTTCCACTATCCCAGGTTGCTCTGTCCGACCTGGCCTTGGACGCTTCCCTGTGGGGATGCAGCCCCCCAGCCCCCAGCTGGCTCCTGCCCCTCCCTGGCACCGCCAGCAGCAGCCCCCAGAGCCCGGGGGGTTCGGGGTCCCCCACGCTGCTCCAACCCTCCCTTTGCTCCTCGTCCTCTCACCACCCCTGGGGCTGCAGTGGGGCATCATCCCGAGGATGCTCAGCACCCACCTGGGTGGTGTCTGGGCACTGGGGCAGCCCCTGAGCCGGGGGTCTGACCCAGGGCTGTGGGTGAGCCCTGGCTCCAGAGGTGCCCCTGTGCCTCAGCACAGCCTCCAAACCAAAACCCAGCACAGATCTGGAAAAGGGAAGCATTTTACCAAAAGCCAGGCTGTGTTCAGGGCTGGCTCCCCAAACCCAGCAGCCAGCTGGAGACCAAGGATGGCCAGATGGGAAAAGACCTGGGTTGGCTGAGGTCTGGCACAGAAAAAGCCCTAAAAATGCGTAGGGAAGGAGCAGGGAAAGGAGGGTTCAGTGCCAGGGTTGTGTGCTGAGGTGTAAAGCGTGGGTGGTGGATAAGGGAGATGAGTCAAAGAACAATCTTTGGCCAGAACAGCTGATCTGATTACGTGGAGTTTTGACCTGGTGGGAACAACTCCTTGTCCTCACCACTGAATTCTCTCTGGAGAGGCATTTTCCTGGCAGAACCCTCATGGGAAGGGGTTTGCAGCCTGCCCAGGAGCTCTGCTGTTAATTTTTAACACTAAAACCCTGGGGAAATTCCAGAGGACTGGAGGCTGGCCAGTGGGAGTCAATTTAATATTTAAAAGGGATAAAAGGGCTGATCCCGGGAATTACAGGCCAGGTGAGGCTGATCACCGTCCCTGCACAAATTATGGGCTGGGTAATTGAGGATACTGTCAGCCAAAAATTAGAAGCTAAAAATATAATTAAGGTTGTTAGCTTGGTTTCATGGATGGCAGCTCCTGTCAAGTGAGTAGGCTTTGGTTTTTGGCATGACTCTGGGCTGGCTGATAAAGCTAATTGTGCTGCTGCATTATAATGGGTTTCTCCAAAGTATTTAATTTAGGGCCATGTGACATTTTCATTTGTAGAACTTGCATTATATGGAGTCAGCAGAGCAGACATCCGACGGCTGCGCTGGCAGCTCTGGGGCGGTGGCCAAGGGGGCGAGCGATGGAGGAGGCTGAGAGCACTGGATTTTGCACAGGGTGATGTTTTTAGCAGGGATGCTGAGGTGAGAGGGGGTTGGCAGGGCAGGCAGACTCACAGGGGGATCACCCTTGCCCTGCCCAGCAGCCAAAAGGTGAAACACGTGTGGGAACAAAATATATGGATTTTCCTGCTAAAGCACAGCAAGGCCGATGGCAGCAGCAGCTACTGGTAACCCAACTGGGAGTGTAATTAATCAATTTTAGTAGAAAGGTATGAACTTGCAGAAATTTGGCATCTCTGGACAAAAGGAAAGTTCTGCTTGGTGGGACAGGATTTATTGTGGCTTCTGGGACAAGCTCAAGCCTCTGCATGCTTGTGCAGCTTGCTCTGGACCATCCTCGTGTGCTTGTCCATCCCCATGGAAGCTGCATCCTCCCCTCTGGGCTGCATCAGATGCAGCTGAGTGCTGTGGATTTCCTCCAGTGGATAATTTGGGTCCTTTTATTTTTCCCAGTGGGAAAAATGGGATTGGATGGGGCTTGGAGCAACCTGGTCTAGTGGAAGGTGTCCCTGCCCAAGGCAGGGGGTGGAACAAGATGGGCTTTAGAGTCTCTTGCAACTTAAACCACTCTCTGAATCTGGCAGCTGGGCACAGAGCAGCCCAGGGGCCATCTCTCCATCCAGGAAGATGTTCTTCACCCCATATGGATTTCCACCCTGTGGGTCTCCCCACTGTAAGACACGAGGGGCATCCAAGCCTCCTTTGGTCAGTGTTTCCTCTGCCAGATTTTCCACAGGCAGGGCTGTGGGGGCTCTGGATCCCTGCACAGCCAGGGGCTGCATCCAGCATCCCACACTGGGACTCCACTTGGAGCAGGGCAGGAGGAGGGGAGCGCTCTCAGGATCCAGTGTGGATCCCAGGCCTTGCCAGCTCCAAGCCATGACTCCTGCCCTCTCCCCCGGGCATCCATCTGTCTGGCTCCACGGTAATGACGGCGAGCTGGCGGCACAGAAGCATTAAATGACTTGCCCAAGGTCCCGTGGGGAGCGATGGCCACTCGGGAGGAGCACCTGGCTGTCCTGCTCCTGCCTCGGCAGCGCCCGGCCCTGTAGAACAACGTGCCACATCAGAGCCAGAAAAACACGGCACAGCCACACGGACCCTGTCCCCAGGCCGGTGACATCCTGGCGAGCAGAGCCAATGGATGGTGGTGGCAGGAGCAGGTGCTGCTCCGCTCTCACCGGTGGGGTTGGTGCTGCCGAAGCCTTTCCTGGAGCTGGAGGGTTTTACCCTTCTCCAAACTGGGGCCAGCACAGCCCGAGCTGGTGACTAACACCTCCTGCTTTGCAGTTTGTTTACCTGGTGCTGGGGCTTCTTTTCAAAAGGCTGACTCACCACAGCACCTTCCCCTCTACCACTGCAGCTCCCTGACAAAAACTTTCCATTTTCCCATTGTTTTAATTACCCTCATTTGAGAAAACTCCTCCAGAAAAAACAGGCTCTGGGTTGAAGAGACATGGCAGCCCCAGCTGGGCATTCCCCCAGCGGTGGCAGTGGGCAGGTGATGGGGTGGGACCCCCATTCCCATGGTGGGGAGCTCAGTGCCACGGCTGTGCCAGGATCTGGGGCACACAGGGGATGTCACGGGCAGTCACTTTCCAGCAGCCACCGAGCGTGGCACACGGGCTCCGCACGGCTGAATGCGGCCTGACAGGTTTGTGGAGAAGCCTGTCCCGTTCAGCTGGATTTTTGGAGCCAGCCCCAGCACCGGTCGCTTCCCGCGAGGTGTTGCCGGCTCCGGCAGAGCCGTGTGTGGCGCCAGGTCACGGCCCTGAGCCCACGGGGCAGGCACAGCCTGCGGGTGGGACACGCCAGGCCTGCTCCCTGCTCCAGCACCGTGCCCTTTTCTGGGGGAATTTCCCCATGGAAAGAGGGAAAGAGCAGCCCCTTCCCTCCTGGAGGGCTCCTCCAGTCTGTGGGTAGGTGGAGAAGGGCTGGGGATCATGAGGATAACACATGGAGGTGTCCGTGGAGCTGCAGAGGGGCTTTTTGATGAAAAAAACCAATTCTGGGCATCTGTAGGAACTGTGGGACGCAGGGCACACCAGGTCCTCAGCAAGCAATGTAGCAGGGAATAATCCAACATTGGGGATGGAAGCAAGGAAGGAGGAAAGGGGAATCAGGGAAGGACTCAACAAGAGCTGGTTGAGAAAATCATCCACCCCTCTCCAAGGAACAGGATTTCTGCAGTCATGTGCCAGGTGAACCCTGGACCCGCAGCGAGGGTGGCAGGGTCTGTACATTCCAGAGGGGAAAAGCCTCTCTTCCTGGGGTAGGGTTGTCCTGCTTTTATAACATAATCATCAAGGAAAAGGTGGGAAAATCCACCCAAAACAGTGACGTGTGAGGGTCTGGTGGCCACCCTCAGCCTGGGATCAAGTGGGCTCAGGGTCACTGGGGTCACTGGTGCTCTGCTGTCCCATCCCAATCCAAGGTACACGGTGTGTGCTGCGAGTGGCCCAGGCAGGAGGGAGAGAGATGATTAAAGCTGCCTTTGATGAAGCAAAAATTAATAAACGAGCAGACAATTGTGCTGGGCTTTATTTACTTGGGATGACAGCGTGGAGCCGGCGTGGCGAGGCCACTGAGGCTGAGTCCCACATCAAACACCGGGACAGCGCCAGGCACGAGGGGACCACGCCATCGCCTCTTCTCTGACGGGTTTTTCCTGGTCCCAAAAATCCAGAAAGATCCCTATGTCTGTTCCTCACAGCAGGGCCCCATCCCAGGCTGGCAGGGAACCCTGGGATGAGCAGGAGATGCTCTGTGCCATGGTGACGTCTGACTGTGGTAGGACGTGCCAGGCTCGGGTACATTTTGGAGGTGCCACTTGGCACCTTTGGCTTGTCCCCCTGTCCCAGGGTCAGCATTCCCACCTCTCCAGACCCAGTGAGGCTCCACAGGCACTGAGGTCCCTTCCCTGCTGCTTCTGTGCAGAACCCAGGGGCAGAGCTGGGAGGCCAAACCTGTGGCCTCACACTGGCTCCTTATCAGCTGGTCAGGAATATTTACCTGCCGGTTTCCACCGGATAAAAATTCACTGGACAAACAGGAGCTCCCAGCTGGCCCCAGGGCGGTGGCACAGCAGGGACGTGGCTGAGGTGGGACGTGCACCCCAGTCCCTGCTTCACCCCTGCTCTGTCCCCTGCAGGTCACCGAGGTGCCACAGGAGTGTGAGGGACATTGTCCTCACCAAACCCAAGGGTTGGTGACCCTGGTGTGCCAGGGCTGGGGACAGGGGTCATGGATTGTCACCCTGTGTCACCCCGTGTCCCACTGCTGGGGGGCTGTTTGGGGAGGTCAATGTGCCCTATGGGGACCAAGGGTGGGGGGCACCAGACAACTGCTCCTACAAGGGGCTGAACTGAGCTGGTCCGGGACTAACTGAACTGAGCAAAGCCCGGCTGAGCTGAGCTGAGCTGCACTAGGCTGAGCTGGGCTGTGCTGAGACAGGCTGAAATGAGCTGAGCTGGGATGAGCAAAGCCATACCAAGCTGTGCCAGGCTAAGCTGAGCCGAGCTTATCCGTGCCAGGCTGAGCCAAGTCAGGTTGAGCTGATTTGGGCTAAAGGAAGCTGAGCAGAGCCAAGTTGAGCCAAGACACATCAAGTTACGGTGAGCACAGCTGAGCCAATCTGTGCAAGGCTGAGCCAAACCGAGCTGGGCCGATCTGATTCGAACCGAGCTGAGCCAAACTGGGCCGAGCCGGACCCAGCTGAACAGAGCCGGGCCGAACGGAGCTGAGCCGGGCCGAACGGAGCCGAACCGGGCCAAAGGAGCCGAGCCGGGCCAAAGGAGCCGAGCCAGGCCAAAGGAGCCGAACCAGGCCAAAGGAGCCGAACCAGGCTGAACGGAGCCAAGCCGGGCCAAAGGAGCCGAACCGGGCCGAATGGAGCCAAGCCGGGCCGAACGGAGCCAAGCCGGGCCAAAGGAGCCGAACCGGGCCAAAGGAGGCGAGCAGGGCCAAAGGAGCCGAC